TTTTCGAATGTCGTAGTGGCTCCAAAAAATTAATGTACTCGACTCCTAAATGAAAGAGACAATCGCTGATGAGAATGTCGTTTTCGAATGTCGTAGTGGCTCCAAAAAATTAATGTACTCGACTCCTTAATGAGAGAGACAATCGCTGATGAGAATGTCGTTTTGGAATGTCGTAGTGGCTCCAAAAAATTAATGTACTCGACTCTTAAATGAGAGAGACAATCGCTGATGAGAATGTCGTTTTCGAATGTCGTAGTGGCTCCAAAAAATTAATGTACTCGACTCCTTAATGAGAGAGACAATCGCTGATGAGAATGTCGTTTTGGAATGTCGTAGGGGGCCCAAAAAAAAATATCGTCTAGGCCTACTTTTGAACAGAAGAAATGTCGGGATTTATCTGTCAAGGTAAAGTTTACTGATCACAATATCGTGGTGGAAGATCGTAGTGGCCCAAGATAATATATATTCCTCTACTCCTAAATTGATCGCTTTTAAGCACACGGGGGCTATCCCGGAAAATGCTGGTTTGAGAAAATCGAAGGCAAAGTTTTTGGACCCTCATTCAGTTTTTTTAAAAGACAAGGAGAGTTTTCTCTATAGCCAAACAAATATACACACCAATGAAACCAAACTTCTTCTGTGGGTAGGGCAATCCCCACTTTTGGTATAGGTCAAGATTTCTGGAAACGCCTGAAATGTGAGTTAGCCCGCTTGTCCTTAAAAGTGACCATTTATATTCCTCTACTCCTAAATGAGGGAGAAAAATCACCGATGACAACAACAACAATAATAATATTTTTTGTTGTCCGTGCCCATTTCTATCACCTGGCGCTCTCGTGTTCGTAGTAACAACAGCAAAAAAATGTGCAGGATTTAGAATTTCAAAATTAAGTGTTTAAATTAGTGTAAACCCATAAGAGAAATATTATATTATATAGAGACAGACAGACAGACAGACAGACAGACAGACAGACAGACAGACAGACAGACAGACAGACAGACAGACAGACAGACAGACAGACAGGGAGTCAGTACTAAGCTCATTATTGAAACTGTCTTTAGCTACAGCTTATCGTTGTTTCATTTCCCGCAGAATACTTGACATCGGTGGCAATTATAGAATCTACAGCATCCTAATAATTATACACACTATTGAACTTTTAAACTTATTTGAACTTTTCTTTTTCTTAAGATATTATAAATAGGAATTATGGCTCTTTTTTCCTTTCTTTTCTTTGCTTTTTTTATTTTTAAATAAAACCCCTGCACTCTGTTTCGTTTACATTCAACAATAAACATTTGCCTTCACTTTCCGTCACAACAGTATCTATTTGAAGGAATCGGAGGTCTTTTTGCTGAATCTGCTGTTAAACTGTGTTTTCGGCTTTTTGTTCATATTTTCCCCATTCACTTTGAGACCTGTGTGAGGAAATTGTCACTTTGCCAGCATGCACATGTAATAACTGTAGCTCAACACTATGCTAGAAGAATCCATGCGTGTTCTCGAATGCAAATGAGTATTTTTTTAATGCAATTAATTGCAGAAGTTTTGCACCCCTTCGACACTGATTAGACCAATTAGGAGGTTGGCTGCCTCGAATTTGCCTGTCGGGGACACCCCGGGCCGATAGGGACACAACATCCCAGCAGAAAGATGGAGAAGCTTAATGCAAAAAAAAGTCCCCCTATGCAGAAAAAGGCATGCCTCCTGCGTGCGACAGTGAAGTGTCTATAAACCGCTACGCTATAGAGATCAGTTGAATTAGTGTGAATGTGTGTGTGTGTGTGTGTGTGTGTGTGTGTGTGTGCGTGCGCGCGCGCGCATGGGGGGTGTATGTGTGTGTGTGGGGGGGGATTTCTTTTGAAGTCTTCTTGGGCTCTTCAAGTGAATAATTTTATTGTTTTGTCCAGACACAATACATGTATTAATAACATTACATGTGTGCCAGTCATTTGTAAACTGCAGATGAGACTGAGGAAACTTTAAAAGTTAAAGTAACGACCAAAATTTAACCTAGACCTTTTAAAGACAAATCAAAAACTGAAAGAACGTTTCTCCATAGATGTAAGCAATAAATTTCAAGCTCTGGAAAACATTACTAAATCGGAAGAACTATGGAGAAAAAAGACTCATAAATGGAAGCTGTGGAAGAAAATGTCCCCCCGAAAGCTAAAGAGAAAATAAAAAATTGATGACCCTGGACATGTTAAAACTAATGGAAGCGAAAAGACAGGCAAAATCAAAAGTGGAAAAGTAAAACATCTTAAACAGGGAAATAAAGAAAAACTGCAACGAAGCAAAAGAAACTTGGATAAATGATCAGTGTCAATAATAGAGAAGAACCAAAACAAAGACAGCAAATACATGCATTCCAAAAATCAAAGAAGTAAGTGGGATAAATGACGCTCAAATACAGGATGTATAAGATCAAAAGGAGGAGATATTTTAATGGACAATGAGGATGTCTTAAACAGATGGTCAGAATACATAGAAAAGCTTTTCAAAGATAATAGAGGAGAAAACCCGATAAATGGACCACCAGTACTGCAAGCAGAAGTACAAGCTGGCTGCCATTAGGAAAATGGAACAAGAAAAAGCCACAGAGCCAGATAATATTCCTGTTGAAGTGATTGTCGCGCTTGAAGATCCAGGCACTGAAATAAAAACAAAGCTCCTAAATAGTAAATGCTATTTTTGACAGCGGTAAGATCCCAGAAGATATGCTGAAGTCAGTTTTTATAGCTTTACCTAAAACACTAGGTGCCATTGGGTGTGATATGCATAGAACAATTAGCCTAATGAGTCATTTTACAAAAATATTACTGCGAGTAATTATGGGAAGATTGAGAAAAAGTGTAAGACCAGAGATATCTAAAGCACAATTCAGCTTTGTTCTTGACAAGGACACAAGAAATGCTATATTCCCCTTAATAATGTTAATGGAAAGATGTATTGAAGCACAGAAAGATGCTTATGCTCCATAGATTGTTCAAAGGCGTTCGATAAAGTTAGACATGATGAGCAATTTAAAATACTGGAAAAGCTGAACGTAGACGAAAAAGATCTAAGAATTATCCGGAATTTGTACTAGGACCAAAACGCTGCTGTACGAATTAATGGAGAATACGGTGAATATACGCAGATTAGGAGAGGAGTGAGGCAAGGATGTGTTATGTCACCAGACCTCTTTAACATGTACAGTGAAATAATCCTTAGAAACATAGAAGAATCTCCAGGTCTCAAAGTATATGGAGAAAATAATATTAATAGCATCAGATGCGGATGACACAGTTTTAATAGCAGGTTCAGAGAAAGACCTTCAATTGCTTCTAGATACTTTATTTGTAGCAGAAAGTGAACGTAAAGGAGTAGTGTTGAATGTAAAGAAAACAGAATGCATGGTAATATATTTTTTTTAAGCAGCAAATCCTAGCTTGTAATCTCATACAAAGGTGAAAAGATTAAACAAGTCCACTAGTTTAAATATCTAGGATATATGATAACATCTGATGCCAAATGTTCCACAGAAATAAAACGGAGAATTACAATGGCTAAGGTTAGTTTCAATTTAAAAAATGAACCCAATCCTGAGAAATAGAAACATCTCAATGACTACCAAAATGAAAGTTTTGAAATGCTATGTGTGGTCAACCCTTCTATGGCTGTGAACGCTGGACAATCACTAAAGAGAGTGACAATAAAATAGAAGCAACAGAAATGTGTTTTCTTAGGAGACTGCTAAGAGTATCGTGGAAGGAAAAGAAATCAAATGAGGTAGTGCTTGATGAAACCAACGTGGGACGCTCACTGTAAAAAATCATCAAAAAAAGACAAATGCAGTTTTTGGGACTCCTGAATTATTTTTATAGACATAAGGATCTTGAAAATCTAGCTCTTACTGGCAAAATTGAAGGCAAACGAGGCAGGGGTAGGCTGGAGCAACCTACTTAGGGAAGCTAAACAAATGGGTAATAGGAAAAGATCAGGGCAATGTAGCTTTTTTAAGAGCATCCGAGCAAAGAAATGAATTGAGAACCATGATCGCCGATGTCTGTCGCACATCTGCCCCTCAATGATGATATAATATAACGCGAAACAAAAGCTAGACCGAATTGGAGCTCTTCTTTGGTACTGTTAAATTCTTGTCTGGGCTTGCGCAGATGGGATTGTTTACATGGAATCCAAGATGGTGGGAAAGAAAGGCAAAGGGAAAGGGAAAACCACTGGGCCGGTGAGTTTTTCAGGACCATACGTACTATTCTTAACAGATGACACACCAACTCGTAGCGAGAATCTTATTGCATGCGTTGTTTTGTATTGTAGGGAGCTCATTTTGTATTTCGCCACAGATTCTTTGTTTTGAAAGATTCTTGACGCGCCGAGACTTGTTTGACTTCGTAAACTTTTACTTTTACTTTCTTTAGGCAGACTACTTACTACTGGTAAACTTTAAAATTAATGAAGTCTATTTTGTTAACTATTAACTGCTAATGGACAGTGGGCACTACTTGGATATGGTGGTCCCGAATTTTGTGACTGGGAAATATAACTTAACCTTGAGAAAATCTAGAACGATTACTTCTGGTTCTCAGTCTAACTACACTAAAGGATTACTTTTTGATTCGCGTGCCGGAGAGATAGCCTTTCAAACCTAATTGCAAAAAAACATCAAATCATGGTCAAATTCAGAGATGCCCCCCTGAGACACCCCATGTTTTGTTGTTTTTTTAAGTCAGGGGGGCAACCCCCCTTGCTTTGTGAAATACAAGTGAAATTTTACTGCTCATTTTGTAGGCTAGATCTAGATCTAGATCCAGATCTAGATTTAGAATCTAGGCTACTGATAAAACATAAAACATTGATACCGACTATTTGAATCAGTATCGATATTTCAGTTGCCTACACTACGCAAAAGTCGGGGCCACCATATCCAAGTAGTGCCGGACAGTGAAAGTGATATCAGGTCCTTGGACATGGAAAGAGGGAGCAACTGCTACTTTTACCTGACTACCAGTTCTACCTAGGCCTATAATCCTATCAGAAGTGGCTATCCTCACCCGGGGTGAGAATAAAAGTACGATCGACCTCTCAACCCGGGTGAGACTTGCCACCGTAGACTATTCTCACCCGGTGTGAAACAAGACCTGTTTTTCCTAATTTCGGAATATTTTCTATCGGTGTGGATGATCAAATGGATAAAAGCAAAGAAAAAATTACGTTATAGCACAAAAGTAGGCTAATTTGATCGGCTACAAAGATGCTATGGCTATTTCACTTTTCGAATCGAGTCGAACTACGCTGGTCGCCATTTTGTTTTGCCCGGAAGTTCTCGCAAGATCTACTCCTCCCCTTCTCTCTCTCTGTCTCTTTCTGAATACTGTCTATCGGTGTGGACGATCAAATTGACCAAAACAAAGTTAAAAAATGATGTTAAAACATAAAAGTAAATTAATTTGGTCGTCTGCAAAGATGCTTCGGCTATATTTAACTTTTCGAGTCGAGCCGAACTACGCGGGTCGCCATTTTGTTTTGCATGGAAGTTCTCGCGCTACTCCTCTTTCTCTCTCTCTCTCTCTCTCTCTCTCTCTCTCTCTCTCTCTCTCTCTCTCTCTCTCTCTCTCTCTCTCTCCACTGCGCCCACAGACAAAATTGTACGCTTAAAAGGCTAACAGTAGTAATAGAACGTTTGTTCACGGCACAGAATTCTACAATTTTTCTGTTATATCACAGTGTAGGATTCTGTGGTTCAGGGTGATCGCAAAATTGGTTGGCCTAGATCTAGGTAACGGTAAATGCACACCGGGTGAGAATAGCCAAAAGACTCGCCTGCGCTAGTGATAATGGAGGTGGCCAATCCTATCTATGTGTCCAAATTTCTTCTCCTTGTCTACAGGATAGGCCAATGGGGCCAATCCTTTTTATTTTAATTTTTAAATTTTAAAGGGAGAACCCCGTAATGTAACTGTTCTATACAGTACGGGTATACTCATTCTTTATCTCTCTAGTTTGGATAAATCGAAGTGAAGGGAATTGAATTCGGAAGTTGGTAAAAGAAAATGTGTGCATTATATTATTCATTATAATTTTTAGGCGCTTTTTCGGTAGTTCCCACCCCGCAATTGTTATTCGTGGGTTTTGGCCCCAAGAGTAGGGGGGTTTCAGGGGGGCAAGCTAATAAAAATAAGGTGGGGGGTTTCAGGGGCGATGCCCCCCTGATTTTACCATAAATTGATGTTTTGCAGTTGTTAGGTTTGATATCTTAGCTCGCCGTGCATCAAACGTATAGATCTAGATCTAGATGTAGATCTAGGCTCAAATAAAGGGGGTGGGAACTACCGAAAAAGCACCCACTCTTATTATTACTTAATCATTACACTTGCCTGTGAATCATACGGTAACATTTGGAATTCACTGTCTCAAAATAAGTTGTTAAATATCATCACTGATCTCATCTCAGAGGCTCACAAAAAATATTTTAAATTATATAAACTACGTAATGAATGTTAGTCTACCTGTAATTTGCAGTCCTTGTGGGATTAACAGTCGGAATTTTTGTGTCATTTGGGGAAAGTAATGAATGATTTTATTAAGTAATTTTGTGTTACGACGGGGTGGAATCAGGCGCTCATCAATCTTTGGGCATATATGGGGTTATTGGTATCATATTAAAACCTGTTCATTTGTCTTCCTTATTTTGGTGAAAAAATGTTCCATCTATCTTAAATGAAAGTTGAAATATTTGTGGTTTAAGGAGGTCAGGGTCGCCTGGTTTCAGAGGTAAAATTAGAGAAAAAATAGCTACCAAAGTTTGGTGACATCCAAATTTTGAGAGTCCTTGAAAACTGCAAATTTGCATTCTATGTGCCTTTAATCAACGTTTTTCAGTAAAATTTGGTTATTCGCACAGAAATATGTTTGTTAATTGATCCTAAATAGCCTCGAGTTTAAAAACAAAATTTCTATAAAAATTACCTGTCGGGCAGAAAAATGCCAGTTTCTTTGATTTCATTATTTTGACGAGCGCCTGATACCACCATGGTGCCTCACATATGATAGAAAATCTTTTATCCTTTGAAAACACTTAAATTTTGCCTGTTAGGATTTCTCAACAAGAACACTCTATACAAACACAACTACAAAGCTCTATCTTGTGTCCAAATGTGTTAAACTATGTATCAGGTGGCCAGTAAATGAAATCAGACTCATACTTTGCACTGCTGAGAGCAGTGCATGATAGAGAAACATTTCATGCTTTTCAGTAGGAGAATGCAAAACCAGGTTTTCTTTGTTCATTTTCATTTTCATAATGTGTACATTTAGAGTTAAAAAATCAGTTTGCTCTCAAGATTGTAATGTTCAGCTGGCTAACTAACATGCTAGACAACATACGAATATCATGGGTGCTTCTGTGTTTGGTTCACATAGTATATCTTTTCCAGGGAAAGTTACAATTTGCCTGGTTTTTATTTTTTTTTTTTTTTTTTACTTTCATCGCAGGTGGCCCAAGGTGTAATGTCTGCCCCAGTGTTCACAGCTGTCCCACAGTCCCGTGCAGTCTCAGCCACCATGCCTGCTGGGGGTTCCGCACCATCCCAGAGGCCGAGAGCGTCGTCTCCTCCCAGGATTCTGGGCCATCCAGAGTCTCCGAGGGATGAATTTAGTGAACCAGAGAGTAGCCTCTTTGACTACCAGCAAATAGATGAGCTAGGGTGAGGAACCCATTTTTTTTTTTACGAAAAACCACCAAGATGACACTATAATGATTTTGTTGTGAGAGAAAGTATTGAGCTTTTTTTAGATAAATTTTCACCTCATTCTTTATTCCTTGTCTTAGATTTGGATTTACATTGTTTCAAACTTTATTTTATTTTTTTCCTGTATGTGCCTGTCCTTATGACGTCTGTGTTTAATTTATAGGAATCTGTATAAAGACTTGAACTTTCTCTGAAAATAACATTTTTGTGTTCTATTTAAGTGCTAATGTCCTTTTCACAAAAAAATTGTCGTTTTCTTGATACTTCCTACAGGAGTTTTCTAGCAAGGTATTTCAGGACTTAGAGTCAAGAAAAATGAACACATACTTTGTATCTGAATGTGTGCTTTATTCAGAGTATGTTACACAAACACTTTATCATAACTTTCATGATATTTTCTATGATTTTGGGACAGGTTATAATAAAACATGTGTATTTGATGACCTTATCATAACTGGACTACCATCTAGTTTATAAGCTTTCCATATGGGGACTACTTTTGGTTTAATGTGTTTACTTGGGAAGTATATCATTTTATTTACACAAACTAATTTTTGGGGTAACCTTCAGTCCCTACTTGTGTTCATTTTTTTTCTCTCTCTCTCCCTCTCCCTCTCCCTCTCTCTCTCTCTCTCTCTCTTTTTCTCTCTCTCTCTCTCTCTCTCTCACTCACTCTCTCTCTCTCTCCCTCTCTCTCTCTCTCTCTCTCTCTCTCCCTGGCTCTCTCTCTCTCTCTCACTCACTCACACACACATACACTCACGCACACACAGTTTTATAATATATTAGATAATGTTTACTCTCAGGTATAGCAAAGTGAACTTCGGTACCTGGCCAAACAGAGATAGGCAGAGGAAAGGAGGGAACACGGTACCACCTCAATTTCGCTACTCTGGCAGTGTGGGACACTATGCCGAACCTGGTAAGAATGTTTATTTTTAAATGAGTAATTTTCATGGGTCTATCGTTTATTGTATACTCTCTGACTGGTTAAATATACATATAGTTGCTGGTCTTACAAGTAAAATGAATGGCAGTACAAATATTACCTATGAAATGTGTCAAGACTTGGTAGAATCAGGCGCCCGTCCATTATTGGGCATCTTGATTTATTGATATCATCTTAAAGCTTGATCGTTTGACTATATTTCGAAAAAAAAAACACTTATCTTAAATAGAAGTCAAGATATTTGTGATTGAAGGAGGTCGGGGTCCCCTAGTTTCAAAGGTAAAATTAGCAAGAAAATGGCCGCCAAAGTTTGGGGATTTCCAAAGCTTGAGAGTCCTTGGAAACTGAACATTTACATTTGTTGTAGTGCCTTTAATCTATGTTTTTCAGTAAAATCCACACCGAAATTTGATTGTAAATAGACATAAAAAGTAAAACTAGATATCATGATTTTGACGAGTGCCTGATTTCACCACGATGCCTCACATATGATATTGTCTATATTGAAATTTAAGAAAGTTGTTTGATCTTTCACCTGGTGATGTTTTATTCTTCGTATTTACATTAAGAAATCTTGGGATTTTTTTTTTTAACTTGCTGTACAGATACCAGTATCTGATGAACAAATTGCATTTTAAAATTTTCAAATCCTGTTCAAATGATATTTTTAACAATGATTTTTATTCCTGTAGTCTTTGTTTCTGATGCAACAGATTACATGTCGTGTATATTTCAGTGGATTGCAATGTTGAATCTTGGAGGTTCTAAGGACATGAAGGTGGGTGAATATTGAATTTCTGCTCTGAATATATTCTTATGCCCAAAAATGTATTATCGTTTCCTGGTCGTCTCAATCTGTCTTGTTTCTTCATGACTGAACCATGTGTTGATGTGTTGCAGGAGATTTAGAAGGATTTGGTGACCCAGACTCGGCAAGGGGAGGTGGAGGAGATATCAGTGACCTGTACGCTACACCAATGAAAAAAGGCAAAGGAAGAGGGGTAGGTCCCGGAGAGATTTTTAAACTCAGGTTTTCTGCCTTAAATATTAACCTCTTCTTTTCCATTTATGAATTCGTTCTATACAATTTTCTTGAGCGATATTTTTTTTCTTCAGTTTTTGCTCATCATCCTTCTTACTCACATTTATGACAATTTTATGGGAACTGACCGTCTTTAATGTCTTTTCACTATTCATACGCAGGTTTGATTTTTTTTAGCTTTTATACAACTCTTTTGTAAGTTTGGAGGCGATTACCTTTGTTTTGATTATTTTGTCACATATTCTAATGATTCAAATGAGCAGTAAGTCTTGAAGTAGACGACTGTTGGTGATAATTCAGTTATGTGTTCTACTTTCTTTTTTACTTCCTTTTATGGTACTTTAATTTCAGATCAAAAGGGTGATGACTACAACTTGAGCCTTTTTGGTACAGTGTTTGGTCTTTGATTTTCGAAATTTTTACAGTCAAGCTATTTTCAAAAGTGTGGACTTTGATAGGCCTACTTCTTGAACTGTGAATATGTCAGAAAGAGATTAAAATTGAACAATTAACGGGTGTATTGCTCATTGAAATAGTCAGTGGGAAAAAAAGGGAAAGGATGAAAGGTTAGGAAATGTTCATTTGATCTTTCATGTCTCACCTAGAAATCTAGTACCCGAAGTTCAACTGGAAGTCATTTGGAAAATGACATCGTTTCCATGACTGCCACGCACAAGAATGTTCAGGCTGAAATGCAGAGAATACATGACCTACCTGAAGCCATAGATGACACTGTAAGATTTGCACCTTTTTTTGTTTATTTATCTTTTTATTTCCTTTTTGTTCTTTTATTCTGTTGAGGCAGCAGTTGAGGGAACTAATAAATTATTGGAATGAATATTGTTAGTGTAAATAAGGTTCAAAGATTGTATGCAATAGACTTTGTGATTTTGATTCTACGTCATCGGTGTAATTTATGTAATTGTGTCACTACGTGGTGCATTTAGGCGCTCGTCTGTTCTTAGGCATGTGGAGCTATTGGTATGACCTTAACTCACTTGAGCCTATTCCCGTATATTTACAGGACACGCCGCCGGCCCCTGTGGCATAATCCTATGTATTTGCGGATGCGCTTTATCGATTGATATCTCCTGTGTTTTTCGGTTGCAAGCTACAGGAAGCGGCGAGCCATTAGTTGAATCACTTGTTTTGTTTTGCTAAAATTTTGGTGAAGTTATGCGCAATACTTTTTGAGGTGTGAGTCACCCCTGCTTTGCGATGGATAATTATTATTAAAAATTGGGCACAGAAAAAATTGCTTAAACCCCAGACATTGCCCTTTCAAAATATTGATAAAATAAAAACTATTCCGACGAATTAAATGAAGTTTTCTTTTTCTCTGAGAGAATTCCTTTCTTTTTTTTTTTTTGCTGCATTTTAAAAAATTATGATAGCTTTCTGTCTTTTTGTGATAAACGCATTAGCATTACTAAACCCCAAAAGTGTCAGGGTGCAATGGTTGTTGGGTGTGGGTGAAAAATAGCTCAGGCTCAAGTGAGTTAAAACTTGTTCATTTGTCTTACTTTCAATGAAAAAATTACCTCACTTCTTGAGATATATGCAGTGGAAGGAGGTGGGGTTGCCTGGTTTCAGAGGTAAAATTAGCCCCCCAACTTTGGTGACTTACAAAGCTTGAGAGTCCATGAAAACTGCAAATTTACAGTTTTTATGCCTTTGACTAACATTTTTCAATAAAGTCTACACTTAAATTTGTTGAGCCAAAAAAAGACATTGTGAAAAAAACTGCCCATTCTCCACAAAAATGCGGATTTCTTTGATATCATTAATTTTATGAAGGTCTGATTTCCCCACGATGCCTCATAATTGTATTAAACATCTCAGTCTATATCTAAAAAGCTGGAGCAAAGAGACACGTATATTTATATGTGCCTTCCCCAGTCAGTCTTAAACACATATATTAAGTCTTTAGAAAACATATATGCTAGTTCCCAGATCATTTTCATTGTTTTAACGCAATTTGTCTACACTCTTTAGTGTAAGATTTACTTCTTTCAACCAATGAGTAAACACATTTTGAGAAGCACTAGAGAGAAAAACAATATTTTGAAGGGGTATAGGGGAGGGGCAGGAGGCAAAAGAGAAGTTCATACTATAGGAGACAATGATGGCATTTTTTTACTGAAAAGAATAAAGCGTGTAATTATGAATTTCAGCTTTCTTTTTAAGTTTTATTTTATTTTTTTAGATATTTGATTAATAACAGTACCAGCAATTAATTTCTCCCTTCTCCTCCTGGTTTTCCAGAAGCCCTGTAATAATTTTTTTTTTATCACTGTTGTTTCTTTTTGTGGATTTCAACAATTTTGAACAGTAGCCTGGAAAAGTACTTACCTGTTCATTACAGATGGTGAAAAGTGTTCGTCACAATGCCCACATTTCTCACACCTTTCCTGGCTCTGGTCGGCAAGTGGACAGTGGCCGGGGGTCTTCTCGACCAGGTAAGTTCTCTCACCTGACTGAATATGGAGCTTTGTTTTTGGCACCAATCACAAGGAAATGCTCTGAACATGCCATGCTTTTGAGTGAATTCCTTGCCAGTGCCACCCACACAAGTGACTTGAAACTAACACTAGAAATGTTCAAATGGCATGAAACTGTTTCTCGTACATCTAAATGTTTAGTGCAGGATGGAACAGCTCTCTCACTGATTTAAGCAAAGGCCCTTTGCTGCTTATCTTCCGACAGAACTCAGTGGTGATGCAGTGTCAACCAATAAGCAGTTGTCAGTGTCGCGGTACAGAATACTCTGAAGGGAATTATTTTGGACCTGAATTTTTTGTTTGTTACTGGAAAGGGTTTACATTTTTTTTTAAAGACAGTGCTTTCCTTGCTGTATCTGTGGCATGTGTTAAGGTATTTGCAGCTTTATTATTATTTTTTTTTAGTACAGTTTTGTTCTTCCTTGTATTTTCTCTTTGCATTAAGTCTTTATGCTGTCCTTCCAAGCAAGGTAGTTTGTCTTTTGCTTTATTTTAAGGGAAATTATGGTTTCTGACTCTCAGTTGTCCAAATTTAAAAGCAGATCCTCGTACAACTTTTCTTATGAAATATATTGGAAAAAGTTCTGAGATGATAGCAAATGGCTCCATCGCCCTCTGCTGCAATTTCCCCCTCTGACTCTTTCTCCTCTTTTCGGTGTCATATTGTCCTTGTACTAAGTTTTACTACTAATGTACAGCCCATAAAGGCCCTCAAATTAGATGGGGACAAACTCTGAAGACCAAACCGCTTTCTCAATGTTTCCCACTCCATCTGGTACAACACAGGGATTACAATGTCCCTGAACAGTGATTTTGAAGTTTTTGGTTTTCTTTACCACTTTTGTGTGCGCTTGATTTTTTTTTTCTTCATTTTGGCTTTTCTGTGTACTAGATGAATTGTGCTGGTATTCAGTGATATTTCTTATGATTAATATTCTCTGTTTGATGACTCTATTCCACTTTATTTCTGATTCTTTTTTCTTCTTTCAAAGTCATCCTTTATTCTGAAATGGTTCGTCTCTCTGTTTATGCACGCATGACTTCTTCCTCTGAATCTTGGATTGGGTTTATAATTTATCATAGGCTGAACTTAATTCTAGATGGCTTATGTTTGTATTTTATACCATACTTGTACCCTATATTTTTTACCTTTTTGTCTTTTTTTCGTGTGGTATTAAGGTACTTCCCATGTATTTTTTATATCAGTTTTTTAATTGTACTACCTAGAATTAGACTGTGGTAAAGGGGTTGAAATAGTTCTTATAGTCCTTATTAATGATTGTTGTAATGTTTGCCTTATGTCTTCAGGTGTGGGTGGTTGGTGGGTGCTCTGGCAGGGTTTTCTCCTTCTTTCCCATTAAACATATATCATCCTTATCTCTCCTCCTTCTTTTTGGTGTTTGTTACTCTTTTCCAACATTTCTAATCTTCAGCAATTATATGACCGTATTGTGTTGTAAGTGCCATAAAACTCTTTCCTAAATTAAAAACTGATGTGTTCAGGTCTAAGAAGGGTTTTTCTCCTGTTGATTTTGGGGTAGTGAATAAACTCATTGTTCACCAGCAGAGGGTGAAATCTCTCCTATGGAAGAGTAACACACATGGATCGTGTCTATGCTCTGGTGTTTATGCGTGATGTTAACTTTTGCTGATAGTCTCTGTTTTCTGTCCCTCTCTTTTTCTTTCTCCTCTACACTTTCTACAAGGATAAGTGTTCCAACTTAAAGCGTTGAAATTTGTGTTCTTCTGGCAGTACAACAGTACAAGTATAAACAAGAAAAAGAAAAGTACCACATTTATTGGTTTCATTGGTCATTGGAGGGGAGGGGGGGTTTTGATACAGTGGTATAAATAAATCAATTAAAAGTTATGTCAGCTGCACGCAGTACACTTTGTCACAATGCTGACAATACAAGCAAGCCATTTCTGGTTGCCTTAGGGCAGCACAGTTTTTTTTCAATTTGAGTTTTCTCACAGACACACCCAAGTCACTACCCAAACAAATAGATTGGGACAGACATTGCTCAACAATATTTGGAATCAGAGCTCCCTAGCCACTCGACTTCTGTTTGTTTATAATTGTTTTGTGTGTGTTCGGGAGTTTACTTTTTACAATCCCTTTATTCTCTTTATTCTTCATTTCTCTTGCTTAATTGGAATAAACAACTGTCCCTCCTGTCTTTTCGTCTCTCTACATGTTTTCAATTTAAAAAGATAGTTGTGCAGTATATTTACTTGTTTTGAGAGGATTGAGTTTAGAGTGTGATAAGACTTTTACTTTCACTACCTCGATGAACTCAGAACAGAAATGATTGTACCAATCTTGGTTCTCCTTTCTGTAGAATTATCCCTATATTTCCTTTTCCCAAGCAGTCTCTGGTTCATTTTGTATATGGTTTTGCAGGGCAAAACTGAACCTTGCAGATTTGCTAACAAAATTTGTTTTGCCTTCATTTCATCCACTGAGCTAAATTCTGGTTTCCTGTCCTTGAGCTCATGATAAGGAAGCAAAATAGTCACTAACAATAAAGGAGCTCTACATCATTGATCAAATTTTAGTTTTTTTGACCCACTTAAATTGTGCTTTTGAATATTCTGTCTTTTTATTTATTTGGTTTGTTATGTTTGTTTTTGTTTTTGTTGGGGGGGGGGGGGGGTTTCTTGCTCTTTTTTGTTTGTTTGTATGTTTGAGTTTTTTTTGTTCTGCTTTTATTTTTCCTAAAGGGTGGCAGGATTTGTTCCTTACACTTTTTGACCCTTGGTTTGCTTGTTTTTTGGTCTATTTAATGCACAAATGGCACTCCCACCCCGACACCCCCATTGTCCCACTGTCCCACTCACCCACCGGCCCCCGGCCTCACGCACGGTAACTTGTGTTGTAGATAGCCTAATGGAAGACCCCGAGGAAGAAAACACGGAGGCTCCCGGGTCCCGAGAACTCTCTCCAGATTTGCTCAACATGTCAGATCGGACGGCGAATGGTCAGCGGAATGGTGTACACAACGCCCTTCAAGACCTGGAGGCCCGACCAGGAGAAGATGTAGAGGAAGAGAGTGGCCATTTCTATGTCAACAGAAAAGGGCGGAATGTTGGCCTTGTTGATAATGAGACTATTGAGAATCTGATCAAAGCTAGTTCAGCGACGTCGAGTCAACAGCAGGCAAAGCCGACAAGTATGCCCTGTAGGATTAATCAGCTTGAAATCAGTCTAACATAACATGTAGAATAATCGTATTCCTATATTTAATTCAAACAGACAGGCTTACAGTTTAACATAACTATTGAAAATATGTTGAGCATAATTTAAATTCCAGGTTCATTGATCAGATTTGTCATGAGACGTTTAAAGTTGGTTTTTATTTTTATTCTTTTGTTTTCCTACTATCAATGAAACTATTTTGTTTTTCTTCATTTTTCCTCCATGTTGCACACTTGAACCTCAATGATAATGCTTCATTCCGCCTTTTCTATGTGTGACTGCTAACTCAAACTTTCCTTGTGTTATGCTTTATTCACATTTCATATATCTTTTTGTGCTCGGTTTCAAACAGAAAAAAGAACAGCTTTTTAACTTATTGCCGATAACCTATGAGAATACTTGTTTTCAGGCAGCCACCTGACCATGAGAAAATCCGAATCCTTGATGTCTCTCTAAAACTTGGTCCAGTCCATCATTTCCAAGTTTAATAAAAACTATTATTGAGTTACCGTTCGTGCACTTCCGTATACTTATTGTCCGATAATTCTGTAGCTGTTCTGAGGGAAAGTTATTGCAGTTTTAGTGTGGGTACCCACATTTGTAGGTGTGGCTGGAGGTAGCCCAGGTGGGTGTGTCTGCTCAGGGAGGTAACCCAGGTGGAAATGGTTTACACAATGAGATACCTGGTGTAATTTTAAGAATGGAATACACTAGTAACCTGCGTAAAATTTCAATCAGAGACCCAACTCTTTAATTATATCATCTTCTATCGTTGACTTTTGAGATAAATGTTAGAAATTTGAGATTTTTTAGTGATGGTTGAATCTGTGTTGAAACTTTGAGCACAATGTTGTAACATCTTTTTGTAGCCTTTTCCTCAATTTTACTTGGTTATTTACGTTTGTCTCATTTACATTGCTTCCTATGTATGGTAGATTTTCTGTGTATTCTTTCTTTCTTTTGTGTAACTTGTAACCTCTTGGTTTTTTCATACTTTCATGTGAGCTAACAGGTGTGTGGGAGATGCTTCAGTATGGTCAGTGTTGCTTACGAAGAATTGATCTAATATTGGAGAGCTGCTGATCCAGTAATACTACAGTGACCCCATCTAACAAACATATTCAAGGATTTAAATCAAAATATTTTAAAAGCAAATTCATTTCTTCAAAAGCTTCTCGCTTTCATTTTCCACAGTTTATACCTGTTTTTCACTATTTTTGCTCATGGTTCATTTGTTCCAGTATTCCCATTTTTTATTTTTACAGTCATTGGTACATTAGGAATTACAAAACGGTCGCAAGTTTCCATCTTTTTCTTTTCCTCAAGAGTGATTGAGAAAAAGCTTTAATGTGACTGTTCCTTGAAATGCAGAGTTTTTTCTGTAGATTGGAACTTCTGCCCTTCCACCAGTGTGATTAGAGTTCTCTTTACCATCAAAGTTCTGAGTGCTTATTTAGTGCAGTGTTTCCTGAGCTATTGGGTGATGGATGACCCTTTTATAAGTCTTTTGAAAGAGGCTATAGTACACACACACACACACACACACACACACACACACACACACACACACACACACACACACACACACACACATTAGAGAATAACATGCTTAATATTATGTTCCTTTTAATCCCCTACTTGGCTTATCTTAGAAAGAAGATTAAGAGAAATTCTCATCCAAACTTGGTTGTTTTTTTTTAGTCTTTCAGATACACTTAATTGAATGATACAATATCAGCTGATCCTCTTCTATTTTCATTGTTGAAAGTGCTTCCTAATTATTAGTAACTATGAGTGAAAAAGACCATATGATTTTCCTGTCAGTTGGATCACTTTTCTATGTATCTATCCTGATTATCGTTTACTACTACAAGTCAGTTTGTGTGACAGTTATGCCATAAGTAATAACATTCACCTGCAACTTTAGCTCAAACCAAACTTTTCACTCAAACCTGTAGTGTAATAATGTGCATGTCGATGCTTTCCTTCACACTGTGAACTTTTCATTGAATCTTTGCTGTATATCATTGGAGATTGCCGATATAGATGATAAGAATTAACAGTGCCAACCTTTTCTCAACTTTTGCTTTTGTCACAGGATAGTAAAACTGATGCTCATCACTCATAAGCTTCTTTCGGTTTCACATTATTGTCATTAGAGCTTAAGAGCTGAAAATGATTAATAATATGGTATGAGTGATTTTATTTAATCATTTTTGTCATAAGATCTTTCACCTTATTGATTCTATTTTTTATACAGTTAGAAACTATATCTTTGTTATGGACCAAGCCATTACTCGCAAAAAGATTCTGTTTTTGCCTGTTTTTCCCTTTTGTAGATCTCAACTTCAGGCACCTAGGGTTTTATTTTGAAGTTGCAGTATTTATAGCTGTATAAATACTGCTAAATGTTTTTCCATTTTGTTTCTGCTAGTTTTTAGCAACATTTTATAGGCCTACTAAGATCTATTAATTGGTTATCGTCAGAGCAGGCATTTCGTTCAGCTGTCTGTAAAATATTCCCTTGTACTTTCATTAAAAATCTGGCTCAATTTTTTTTTCGTTGGAAAAGACTTTAGGTCTGAACCATTTCTATCTTGAAAAAGGTGAGCCATTTAACTTTCAAAATTAAAACAATTCAGATTAACTGATGTTCACAAAAGTGTATTATGATAACCTGAAGTAAAAGAGTCCTTCTCACTACTTTGCTTCTTTCCATCAGATGCTTGTCAACTGTATAGTTATATTTAAAATTTGCCCTGTATATATCACAAAATGCAATTTTCAGTAGTGCACCTGGCCCAACACTTATGTACCAACATTTTATTGGTCATTTGCTGGACTCAGTTTGTTAAAATAATAAACTGATAGATTCAGGGATTGCACAACATAATGGTCTGTCTCCTGGAAACTATTGCGTTATTATTGGGTTGTTTTTTTAAACTATCCTTTCAAGGTTTGACAAAACAGTCCTATTTTTAACAAAATGATATGCTTTCAATAGCCAAATTCTATTTTTTAAATTTTTTTTTAAAGGGGAGGAGGGTTGTTTTATTGTTTTATTAGTTAAATCCTGAAAGTGTTTTTGCTGTGTAGAATCATCTTTTTAAAATAATGATTAACGCATTTATCACAAAATTACAACATGTGTTTGTTTCTGCTTACCACTCAGCGTTGAGTGTGTATAAGATATTTATTAAGGTTAGAGTATAATGAGCTCTGGTTGCTTTTTTCAGGGGCACGGTCAGCTCGCAGCCGGACCCCTCGCAGTGCACGAGAGCTCTCCACAGAGATGGAGTTTCAACAGCTCAAACTACAGAATGAAGAAATGCAAGCTGAGTTGTCATCTTTACGCAAAGTGGCAGAAGCCATCAGAGATGGGGGTAAGAATGTTTGAAGCGTTTTGTTCTAGTTCCATACAAGGATGATTTCATACTACTTTCTTATTGTCGGTTCTTTCTAGGTAAAAGCTGTCACATGCTTTACCAGCCAATATTTTCTTGAAAGTGTTTAAGTACAGTACAGTAAAAATAATAGGTTGAATGTAACTTCAATACCCCTGTCATGTCGTCGTCATGTCAGTGTTTGAGAGATCTCTCTCATTTTTGTCAATCTTTTTGTTTCACAATTAGAGTTAAACTTTAAAGGTCATTCACATAGTTGTCGTCTTATTATTTTGTGCCTGAAACTTTAAATTAGACTAGACAAGTGAAGCAAAGAATTATTGTGACCTTGAATGGTCCTTGTATCAAGAGAATGCATCAATTTTAATACAAGCATTTATGTTTCATTTTCAGTCAATTACTTCCTTAACTGATTTTTACATGTCTCTTCTTTTGAGGACAATGATTGAATTGATTTACATTTTCCTAAATTCAAATGTACACTGTAAAGTCAATGTCGTTCTTTTTATCTCTAGCGTCACTTCAAATATCTTCACCTGTAGGAACATTCTTAACCTTGCTTTGTTTCTCCTTTTCTGTATTTTTCATTTAAAGATATTGAAGGGGCCCAGACCCTGTATGTACGGAGACAGATGGAGGATTTGAAAGAGGAGAATGAGACGCTAAAGACAAGCGTTCATCGACTCAATGTTGAGCTGAGTGACTACCAGGCCAAATACAGGCCAGTTGACCCAAACCATGTCAAGAAGGTCGGTGTCTCTCCGTCTGATCTGCATTGCCAATTACTGTCTGTTATTGTAATAATATATACAGTGGAATCTGCTCTAACGACCACCTGTTCAAAACAATCACCTGTACAAGTACAGACGACTACTTCCCTCTCCTGCCTTGCTTTTTTAAAACTCTTTCAGTACTGTAGGCTCATGTAGTGAAAAACCCTCAAGTAAAGATTGTGAAGCGCTCAGAGCTTGCTGTTGAGCGGGGATTTGCGCTATACAAATGCTATCTATTATTATTATTATTACTGCACCAGTTTAGAACACTGAAGCTTTGGTAGACTTTTTAAAATTAAAAAAACCTTTGCAGCCCAAGTAACATGCTTTAAACATTCACAGAGGTTCATTAACCATTCAGGTGTCATCATATAGAGAGACTTCCTTTGGTATTTACTTCAGGGCAGTGGCTCTGTCTGTTATTTGATTATGTTTAGTGTGCCTAGTCGAGTCAGGGACTGAAGTCGCTAGCGGTAAGGAGCACATACTACGGCCTGGCAACTAAAGTTGCCGACGGTACTAAAAGTGTTAAACATATATTACAATGACACTAACTACCTGTCTAAAATGGCCACTTTTCTCCTCGACAGTAGTTGATCTGCTTGGACAGGTTGGACTATATATTTATGTGTGTAAGTGCTGGTGTTTTACACCCCTATTGACACAATTTGATTGGGGGGGGGGGGGGGGGGGGCGAGCCAGGGCTGCTTGGGTCTTCTCAGTAAGAACATCCAAGAGAAGAGACCCCAATGAATACTGGTATGCTCATGTTCAATAATTTTTTAAATTTTTTTTTATGGCACTTGGAACACAATTACATCATTCATGTAAAGGCCGAAGATCAGAGGTTTTACAGCGGAGTAACAAACACAAAAAAAGAAGGAGGGGGCTATAAGGAAGACAGATGTTTGATACAAAAAATGGAGCAAACCCCACCAAAGCACCTGCCAATCACCCACCGATAGTGTTTAGGATGATGCTATGAGATGTACTGTTTGCGTGAAAAAATTTTCATCAAATGCAAAATTTGAAAGTTGAGCAATTTCCTGCCTACAGCCGCATCATGTACATAATATATAAGACCAAGACTGTGAAATGATCAAATAAAAGAATGCTTTGAATATTGTTTTCCATGTTGTACGGTAATTTGCACTTAATCAACCTAGCAATGTATTAAACTTTTGTTATATATGGTCTGCAGGATCTTTTGAAACTCATTGTTTTCGAAGCATGGATATGTACAGCTATTTGCATAGCAAGCATGCATTGGAAGGGGTCTTTATTTTAAAACAAAAGTTCATTTGTGTAATGACTCGGTGGAATCGGGCATCCATCAATTTTTGGGCTTGTGGAGTTATTAGTATCATCTGAAAGGTTATTACCGTATTCAGTTGCCTTGTTTTCAACTAAAAATAATGCTCATTTATCTTCAATAGAAGTCAAGATATTTATGATTGAAAGAGGTTGGGTCCCCTGATTTCAGTTGTAAAATTAACAAGAAAATGGCCGCCAAAGTGTGGAACCTTTGATTGCTTGATTGTCCTTGAAAACTGATAATTACATATTCTGTGCCTTAAATCAATGTTTTTCAGTAAGATTCACATAGAAATGTGTTTATTTTATATGAGCAAAACCAAAAATTCAATAAAAATTGCCAAACTAACGGAAAAATGCCTGTTTCCTCGATTTCATTATTTTGACTTGCACCTGATCTCACCATGATGCCTCACAATTTACCGTTACTAGCCATGCTGTTTTGTTTCCCAGGTTATAGAAGTAAATGGACTTCCTTCCAAGGGACCTGTCCCGTCTTGGTTGGTAAGTAATATTATTGTGTGACTTCCTTGCTCAATAAATTATGCTTATATTATTGGCATCTTGTTTTCAAGTCTGATACTTTGAGTTGTACTGTTGAGGTTAAGGGACTGCTGTTGACCCCACTTCTTTACTTTCCCTCTGTTGTTTCAGCCTCCATGCCTGCATGTCTTGCTTTTATTCCAGCTATAAATGACCATTTTTGTGTTGACATGTTTGTCTTTTCTCAAACAAACAACCATATTTCAGAAAAGGATTCACTTTTGATATAATAAAAATTCTTTCCATTTCTTAAATGGTACCCCATTCTATTCATCAAAGAATACCTGGCCTTGTTCTTAGAGTAAGCATACAGTTTTCCTCATATGCATGCTTTTTTAAGAGCTTACAAGTAATATTAAAAGTGCTATAACTATAATCTTCAGATATTCAAAAGTCATAATTTTTAAAGTGTTCCAATGTGTATATTGCCTAATTCATGGTGTTCAAAAATCACATTGGATTACCTTGCTCTGCACTTTATGTCTGCAGATCAACAAGAGGTACCTGGCACCTCTCTACTTGGCATATGATGATCACATCGAAGAAAAGAACAAACTTCTGGAGGATTCCAAGGTAGCAATAGATATATTCTTTCTTTCATTTATTCATTCTCTCTTATCTATCATTTTTGTTTAGTCGAGCTCAGATGATGTATGTGAGGCAGCGTGGTGGAATCAGGCTCTCGTCAAAATAATCAAAGTGAAGAAACTTGCATTTTTCCACAGGTTTGTGAATTTTTATCAAATTTTTGTTTTTTGGCTCCACACCTTTCATGCCCATTAAAGAACTAATTTCTTTGTGGATTTTTCTGAAAAACGTTGATTAAAGGCAAGGGCATGATCTGGGCCATTAAATTAAAAGGACTGCACAGAAAAAGAATAATGTTACGGAGGGTATAGAAGCAATCATGAGAGCTGGGGAAGGAGCACGCACTGTGACCAATCTGGAGAGGACAGCAGCCACAGAGAACATTATAATATGTGAGGCAGCGTGGTGGAATCAGGCTCTCGTCAATTTTTGGGCATGTAGAGTTATTGGTATCACCTTAAAGGTTGTTCACTTGGCTTTGTTTGGATGAAAAAAAATATCCATTTATCTTTAATACAAGTTGAGGTATGTGAGAATGAAGGAGGTGGGGTCATCTGTTTTCAGAGGTAAAACTAGTGAGAAAATGGCCGCCAAAGATTAGTTATTTCCTTATCTTAATAGTCCGTGGTAACTGAATCTTTTTGTTTTTATGTAGACAAATGAATGAGAGTAAGCAAACATCATATATTTAGGTACTTATTAGGTCATTATCGGTTTTCTGTCTTTGTATACATATTATTATTGTTTCATGAACAGAAAGTTTTGTCTCAGTTTTGTTGAAGGTTTTTTTGCTGCTTTGGGAATGTGTCTGCTTGGTGGCAAGACTGCTAAGTATTGATAGTGTGGATAAACTCTGCCTTTTTCACTTCAGAATGAGTTGGCTTCTCTGAGAAAGAGAGCAGAAGAAATCTTGAAAGAGAACCAGCGACTCCGCATGATGGGTGGACCGGGACTGAGTGGAGCTGGAGACACTTCTGAGTGGTGAGTGGAATCTCTACTCTGGCTGTTGATTGACTGGTAATAATAGTAATAGATTGCATTTGTATAGCGCTCTATCCTGTACTAGTATAAGCTCTGAGCACTTTACACCAATCACATAATCATCCACACAAGGAAAAATATTTCACAGTCACAAGAAAAAACAGTTCTCCCACATAAAGAAGAACTTTCACAACCATACATTAACTATACTCGAAAAGACAATGACCAAAAAAAAAAAAATGGAAATTACTCAATACCTTGCAGTAAAAACAAAGTGCAATTCAACACTGTGGGACTTCAGTTACTCCATATAGCTCACTTCTCATGCCATCAAAGTTCGTTGTTCAATTCCTGGTTACTTTTGATACCATGACAGTAGAAATGAAAACTGCAGGCACTTACACTGGAAAAGTAGTTAATAAGTAGGAGACCATACTTGAGCAGTTTTGTTTCTTTGTTTGATTGAGTAAACAGAAACACCCTGACACAATAACAGTCATTTAGTAACAGGAAAGAGAAAGCATGCGGGCACAAAGGATTCGCATTCACCTCACCATCCCACACCATTGTCTCACCATTTTGGTGTACACCAAAGAAGGTGGGAGGAGGAAACAGAGTGGAATCGCTTTCCCCTCCCCTGTCACCGTTCAAGATGGTGGCAGCCTAAGTCTGCTACAAATGTTGTGAAGGCAATCAAAGTCCGTCATAATTTTATACTCATCCATGAGGTTCTTTGATCCACCGTGATCAAAATTGAGGAAAATTAGGCAACTCCAGAACCGACCTATCGCAACAACCAGAAAAAGAGCTACCAAGCGTTAAATACAAATTTGAGAAACATTAAATTTCCATTCTCGAGAAGGTTTCATGTCGTGGCTGAATATTATGTGCTTTAACGCTCAATAAAGTTAAACATACTGCATTTTGAGCAGTTGCCATATTGCGCAGAAAGGTATCATCGTACTCCCTGTTTAGATTTCAACTTTAATGCAAGCAACAACCAACAACATTATTTCTCTGTGTGTGTGTGCGCCTGCGTATGCTGTAGTTGGAATCAGTCTTGTCATAAAGACCTGGTCTTTTTTGGACAGCAGCAATTAAAACATCAGGTTTCATGTTCACTGATCAACAATTTTCTCATTGCGCAGTTTTAGTGCTGCTCTAAGTTAGCAAGCCCCAACTATTTTTGGTGCGCCGTTGGTGATGGTGCGGAGACTGAGCGGCTTCTACTTGGTCTCATACAACTGTAGTTACACAAATACATTTCAGTGTAGGCAAACAGGTGACTGTTTGGTGATGGTGAGGGGATGGTGAGGGGAAAGCGACTCCACTGTGCCCGCACACTAGGACAGACAAACTGAAACAAGAGAGGGAAAGAAAAAAAGAAGAACCTTACGATAACACCCACAGTACTTCAGATGTAAAGATGTCAAAACTCTTTTTGACCTCGTTAGTTTGAAAAAAATTTTGAGTTTTATGAAAGAAATAAGATTGTTTGATAGGATATAGAAATGTATTGTTGTCATTGTCTGTGTATGTACATACACTGAAATAAATATTGTAAATACCAATGTAAATAAGAGTCTTCACCATATTTACAAAGATCTTCATTATAAATGTCTGTCCGTCCTTTGAACATAATGATGATATGACCGTATGCAGTTGTGAACCCCGTAAAACTCTTACTAAAACATAACATGATGATAGAATTGTTACAGTAAAACCTGTTGGCACTTACATGACCAAAATTGAGTGGATAGTGTCGTAAAACACCTACTCGATCGATCAATCAATCAAAACACCCGTAGTCAGAGTACACTTTGGGAGTTATTAAGGAGGAGCTGAAGTTGAAAGTTCTTCCCCTTGTGCGTGTGGTTTTCCCAGGCAACAGCTGCAGGAGCAGGCCCGTCTGGTGCTGGAGGAGAACCAGGTGCTGATGGAACAGCTGGAAGTCCAGACCAGCAAGGCCAAGGACATGTACACCGCGCATATGGCCGAGAGTGAGTAGATACAAGTCGCTCTTACTCAGACCATCTCTTACCAGTGTGACATCTGCTGTATCTTTGTACCGACCTGGCTCTAGGTTATCTGTATGGAGGCCCATAAGACAGGAAAAATTTTGCTCAAATCTTTCCTGAAAGAAGAACAGAAGGGACCCGAATTCTGTGGTGTATTGCTTTGGCTCTTCACCAATGCAGGCAGAAGACATGAATTCGGTTCCCACATGAGGAAATTATTTTATCAAGAGACTGCAGGGACATTGTGTTTCACTCAGTTCAAGTTGACCCTGACTGGCAGGGACTCTTAACTGGTAAAAATGATGTTGATGGGGGCTTAAAATATTTACTATTATTTACAATTAATCACTGAAACTTTATGATAGAAGAACAGGAACTAATGAAGAGGTATTCTATGAAAAGAATTGATTTAGAAGATATTTTCCATTAAATAGGTAAAGTTTTTGCAAGAATATACTTTTAATATTTTTATCATTATTATTGCCTTTCTTACCCTGGACCAGGGAATAGACCACAAACAAACACTTTCCACATTTCCCTACCCTGGGAAAGTCTTTTGACATTGTTCCATGTTTTCCCACTTTTCTGTACTTCATTCTTTGTGACTCTACTCCAGGTTCGGCATGGCACTCCTGTTGATCTCTTGCCCCGTAGACTCCAATCTAACACTTTCTTTTGAATAAACATTTTGTCCCTGTTAGATTATTAGATTATTTTCAACTGTGTCCTATTACAATTGTGTGGGCCTGTATTATATTGAAACTATGAATCAGACTTTTGTGTTTATGTAAGGCAGGTTTTTATAACCATATCCGTCAAAGTAGGAAAAGAGAATAATGACAAAGGTTGTTGTGTGTTTTTTTAAACTTTATTAAGCATACAAGGCTGTTTGTCCACCTAAGAGCTGAGATAGATAATTCAGCCCGTAACAACTATGTTGTCAGTGTGGCTTTACCATTGTTTTGAGAAAGTTTTTTGTTTTTTAAAGTGTTTTTGTAATGTTTAATATGATATGTCTTTTTAAATTGTGTCCTCATTTTTCATGTTAGATGAAGAACCTACACAATTCAGTATTGTGTGTAATTCAGTTCTAATGGTATTATAATTATAATTCCTCAATTTTGGCAAATTTTTGCACTTGAGAAGACCTTGCTTTTCAGGGTTGGATTAAAATGAGCAAGTTTGGCCAGGGCAAATGTTTGGAGCCATGTGTGCCTTCATTTGAAATAGATTAAAGTCTTTAGACCAACATTTTAACATTATCTTTTTATTGTAAGCATATTATTTGCACTCCCTAGATGCTGTTATTTTTTCACTTTATTTTTTTCTACAGTCTCAAGACTGGCAAAGAAATTGGCGATATCAGAAGGGGAGAAGGCAGATACAGAGAGAGAGGTGGAGGAAGTAAGAGTTCGCTTCAAGGAAATGAAACATAAACATGACCAAATAGTCATGGAGTCAGGGGCTCGAGTAGACGTTCACTCACATATCAATACACTGGCAGATCTGAAACGGTGAGTCCTATCATTCCATTAGAATTAAATAGTGTTCATTTACTAATGTGAAGAGAAGCACATCAGCGCAATAATAGCTCTTTAGTGCTGGGAAAAAGCAAGTAACAGACAGAAACAATAGAGGGAACGGAAAAAAAGAAGGACTGATCAGGGGCGCCCTCCAATCCCTCCCTTTATACTTATACTTTAAGCATATAGTGTATATTTAGCAATCACATGCTCTACCCTGGTACGTTCAGGAATGTGACTGAATGCCCATGTATAGGCCACGTGATGCAAGGATAGCGAATGTACGTCAGTTGCACAACCTTTGCCTATTGTCTCTACAAAGTTAAATCCTAAAGACCCTACATGTGAACATGTGATGGCATGTGGTGTGTTTTATGACATCACAGGCATTGGGATTTCTCACTTCTCCAGACAAACGCAAAGTGCAGTACAATGTGCCTATCTACTCTTTTGTCTTTTCTGTGTGACTGTTCAGCAAATTAAGCAAGTTGACAATATTGAAGAGAAAGCACAATGTAGCCCGCAAGTCAGATAGCAAGGACAAAAAAAAAGATTTAAAAAGTAAAGTTATTTCCGCATCCGATTAGAGATTGCCTTGTTAGTAAGACAACTTTCTGGGCCTTCGGCGTATTGTGGTTGGGTGGCCAGCCAGTTCCTTTGCCTTCGGCGTATTGTGGTTGGGTGGCCAGCCAGTTCCTTTGCCTTCGGCGTATTGTGTTTGGGTGGCCAGCCAGTTCCTTTGCCTTCGGCGTATTGTGGTTGGGTGGCCAGCCAGTTCCTTTGCCTTCGGCGTATTGTGGTTGGGTGGCCAGCCAGTTCCTTTGCCTTCGGCGTATTGTGGTTGGGTGGCCAGCCAGTTCCTTTGCCTTCGGCGTATTGTGGTTGGGTGGCCAGTTCCTTTCCAGGCCGCCTTTACTTCCTCAACTCGAAGTCCCCAAAAAAATCTGTGTCTGAACTGAGGCTCAAACCCACACTTTCCGCTTCGGAGACCAGCGCACTAACCGCTCCGCCATCGTTCCCTCCTAAAAAAGATAGATGAGAAGAAAAACAAACAAAACTTTTATATAATTAATATGAAATTTGCCTCAAACTTGGCATCCCTAACTCTACATAGTAGACAGTCATCGCCATTTGAGATCCTGTCTAGACCATAAACAAGGCTAAACCGAATCAAATCTGACGTTTTTGCAGATTTCAGACTAAGGAGACCCCCACTATATTTTTCCTCATAGGAAAGGTATCAGGGCCTTGTTGTGTACTTATTATTTTCATGAGAGACGGTATTCTTTTTATTCATCATTTAAGGTAGTACACAGCATATGTCATATGTTTTCATGTTCATATTTTCTTCTATAGGTCTGTCACAGAGGAGAAGGAGCAATACGAAAGAGAGGTTGATTCCATTCGTGTAAAGCTTCAGGTACTTTGAGGTTTTTTATCTACTTTCCAACTACCATTTTGTCACTGTTTATTTGCCCTGCATTACTCTCATGCTAGTTACATCATATATTGTTGTAAACTGATCTGAGAGTTATTTTTTTAAACTCTGTCCGAGTTTGAGTTTTGTGTTAATAGATTTTTCACATTTGATTTGATCAGTGAAGTTGACATTGTTGAATTGCTTCTTTGCTGAAATAAAATTGAAGAGATGCCTGTCACTTCAAACCCTTGGTTTGAACTTTTCCCTAGAGAAATAACCTTGGTTTTTATGTTTGTTGTTTTTTCTTCCTCCTTTATATATATGACCTGGAATGGGAGAGAGATATTTTATAAATGCTTTTGATTGGTACTGTGAGCCATGTGACTGCAGTTTTTGATTACTTTTTTGTGTAGGCCCTATAGTATATAATGCATTGGATATTTGGTTGTACAAGCAAGTCTTTTTACTTTCCATTTCACACATTTTTCTTTCTCCATCAAGTGAATGTATTCTTCATTTGTATCACTTTGACTTAAAAATGAAAGCCTGATCAAATAATCTTTCTATTGTATGCTCCTGGGGAAGCTGAAAATGTTTCAGAGTGTTTTATGGTCTGATGGGGTAATAATATAGTGTAAAGCGCATAGAGCTTGCTGTCGAGAGTGGAAATGCACTATACAAATTCTATTTATTATTATTATTATTATTATCATTTGTTGTTCGGTAAATTTACTGTAGGAAGTGGGTGGTTGGCGGGTGCTCTGGTGTGGTTTGCTTCTTCTTTCCTATCAAACATCTATCGTCCTTATCTCCCCTCCTTCTTTTTTATGTTTGTTACTCTCTTGTAACACCTCTAATCTTCTGGCGCTCGTATGACCTAATGCAGTTGAGAGCACGTAAAACCTCTACTAAAACTAAACATATCTTAGGAAGTAGGACTACCAAAAATGAAACATAAATTTCAACCCTGACTATGAGACTGAATGGTGTAAAATATTTTGTCAGGCATCAGAACAGGAGAGGAAGAGTCAAGCTATGCAGATGGTGGACATCACTGCAGAAAACAAGAGACTGAAGGCTGAGGTGAAAACAATGCAAAAGTCAGTCAAGTGAGTTCTTTTTCCCTCTTCTGTGTATGTCCTGTAGCTATTGTTTGAACAGGATACCCCTGCATACTGGAATCAGTGTGGCAGTCAGACTCAGGTTTCCTTGCAGAATTTTTTTCATTCTGTCTTTGTCCTTGGAGTCTCGCTGCCAAAAGTATAGTGGTTTAGGTCTTTCTTTAGAGGAGAGTAGTCCCAAATGAAAGATGTTGTACGAAAGATAATGAATATCCATCAAAAGGGGTCATGAGGAAGAATTTTGTAGGCTCGGAAAATGTTTAATAATTCATAAACATTTTTTTCTGTTTTGTCATGTTAATTACTTTGTCCCATGGCTGAGATAATTGAGTCAAGACGTTGTGTGATATTAGCATTTAAGTTGTGGTGTCTGGAATTCTGGTGCTTCACGTATTTCACTCCCACCCATTGGTTGTTAGTTCAGTTCATTGTTTTGAAATTGGTGCTGAATGTTAGTACAAATCAGAAACTACATTTTTATATAGCATTTTTATAAGCTTCTACTGACTTTACAATTTCTTACCTATGGGACATTGCTGATTGAAAAACCTCACGCTATGAATGACTTCCTGTTAAAAAAATCAAAGTCTCTATTATCTAACTGCGTAAAGTGTGCAGGCTACATATTGCAATGCTTTATTTCTAGGCATGCACAACAGAAAATGACAGTCCTTCACAGAGCTATAGAACTTTCTGAAGACAAAGAAATGATCACACAGGAACAGCTTGCAAATGTCATTAAAGTGGTAAGTAACTTCCTGGCACTGCTTTTATACTTGCTATAGAAATTTGGGAACTAGACATCATTATTATTACTTTGTTTTTTCGTTTCCGTGACTTACTGCTCTATAAGATTGTATAATTACCATAATTTTTTACTTCCTTTTTGGATGGGGGTGAGGGGGCTTCATCAAATCAGAAAAGAATAGTTTCTTGATAGAGTAATTCTGTATTGTATAGTACAATGTGTGACTTCCAGTTGTTGTTTTTTTGCAAGTACAGTTTCATTTTGAGTTGTGTCCTCACTCTCTATGGTTGGTTTTATTATTATCTTTATTTTTTTTTTATATCAGAGTTCTTTAATATAGAGTAGGTCTATTCCTCAAATGAGAAGAAACTTTGGAGTTGTGCATGTGTCATCTTGCCCCTTTTTTCTTCTTATTGGTATACTCAGTCTAGCACGCACATATCTAAACAAGCCCATAGCAAGTAGATTTTCAAGTCTTGAATTTTCTCTTATACATTATGTATATTCTACATACTTAGATTCTACCTAGCAAACTTTGTACATTACAAAAAGATTTCTGCATCCCGCTAATTTCACTTTGTAGGCCTACATGCCAGACTGCGTGAGTTTTGATGAGTAGTAGTATGTATTATATTATTACTAGTAATAGTGCTGTAGATTTTTGCCGTGAAAAGGAGCATTAAGAGCTACCAAACAAAGAGGTTTCAGTCTTGAACATTAATTTACTCATTAAAAATTGATTGTTTAGCTGCCTTTCACTTACAGTTGTCGTGTTCATTTCCTCAGGCTGAGAAGACAGCACTGGAGAGGGACACTGTGTACAAAGTGGTAGGTATACACAATAGGGAGTGCTCTAAGTGTAAGCTCTGAAAGAAAGAAAAGAATGTGGGGCATCATGAAAGACATAAGGGAAGACACTTCTTTTGGATTATAATAATTTATGTGTAATATGTGCAAGCATAAATAAATATATATAACAAGGCAACAAGACTTGTAACAGGAACGTAATGGAATGAAAAGTAGGCACTTGGCGCTTGATCTACTGTAGATCTGTATGTGTTCCTTTTACCTAATGGGGACCATTTGATTGCAAATAGACAAAAAGTGCACAGAGCCTGTTATGGAGCTTGGTATGTGCTAAATAAATGCAACTATTATTTTTATTAGGCTACCTGTGCATCTCAAGTGATGTCTAGTCAACCTCCTTGAGACTAAGGGACAAGAAAAAGAAAGATTAGGAGCAAAAAAAATCACTGGAAAAGAAAGACGAAATAACTGATAAACTGGTAGTGGGTAATCTATTTAATGTACATTTCCCTTATATTTCCTTTTTGCTCCAGAAAATATTTTTATTACAGACAAGTTAATCCTGTAAATGGAGATTCCAGCCGAGTCTTTCATGTATATGGGCCATGTTTTACATCGTGCTAAGGATATAAATACAGTGAAATCTGCTCTAATGACCACCTGCCCAAGAAAATCTCATGTGCGATCCCATGTGTTACTCATTAGTTATAATGTATGATGTAAACTTGATCCCTGTTTAAAACGAGGTTCAACTATAACAGGAACATCATGTTGGTCTCAGCAACGGCCCACTGTACTTCTGCCTTTGGCCCTTGTTTCTTGTTAAGATTAAGACAACTTCTTCTTCTTCTTCTATCCCGTGGCTGGGGCAACCATGGGGGCACCACTGCATCTGAAAACAAGCTCTCGCCATTTATCTTCGTCCTCTGCTTTCCTCAGATTGTCACCCATCGTCTTTCCTGTCCACTCTGTAATGTTGTCCTCCCATCTCCTTCTCTGCCTTCCTCTCTTTCTCTTTCCTTGTACGGTTCCTTGTAGGATTGTTTTGGCAAGTCCTGTGGATCTTGTGACATGCCCATACCATCTTAATTTCGTCTCTTCCCTGCGGTCAGTAGATCTTCATACTGCCCACCTGCGTTGGTGATTCTGTTCCGTGCCTCAGCATTTGAAACATGGTCTTTGTACGAGATGTCAAGGAGTAAGACAACAGTAACACCAAAAAACGTACGAGAAAACCCTAGCACAGCTCCCACCAAAGTGATGAGTGACCTCACTCGTGTGGCCCACTTCCCCTTTTTCTGCCTTGTTCTATTTCTGTGCTATTATTTTTACCTCTATTATTACTATTATTGTATATATCTATATTACATTCCTGAAGATTATTTTTTAGTGCTTTAGAAGCAGAGATGTAAAATCCTGATGTTCTTTTGTTTATGTCGTGTGTGTTTTTGTCTGTGCAGGCACGGGAGCAGCAGGAAGAGAACAAGATGACGGTCAACAAAATGATGCTTGGCTCTGTGGCTGTGGGAAAACTGGAAGAAAAACTCAAGGTTTTTCAACTTCTTTTTTTTTTTTTTTTTTTTTTTTTAAATTTGTTAATTTTCAATCGTTATTAACTGCCAAGCTAAGTTATTCTTGCCAAAAGTGTCTAAGAATAATATTCTTGTGTTATCTGTGGTAAATAAAAATATACTTAAAATTTTTGCGTCTGAGCTGAGACGAATGTTTTTATCAAAATGTGGAATTTATGTTAAAGACTGCATGCATTTATAAATTATCATTAATGTGCCAGTGTTGTCAGAGGATCACTTTTCCATGATCTTATTTTAAAGACATATTGAAATTAAGTTTCTTTCAATTTACTTTAAATTTTAAATATGTGTTCTGTTCTTAGACCTTCATGCTGAGAATTTATCTTAAATGATCTGTTTATTTTTAGCTTTACAGAATGAAAGCATCAGCGAAAATCAACACAGTCGCTGACAGGTAAGAGATGTTCCTCAAGGGCATGTACACTGTTGTATTTACAAGACAGTTGGGGCTGTGAAACATTTTGTCAGCACCTAATCAAAATTTTCAACATCTTATTATGGTTGAAGAAGAGCTCAGAAACTACCCTGTTCCTGTTGGTTATATGATATTTTGATACTGACTAAAGATAAAATATTTAGAGATTTATTTTAGTTCACATTTTTTACACGTTCAGCCGTTTTTATGGGAATTTTTAAAATTTGTGTTTATTTTTTCAGGGGTCTTGTACTGATCAATAAAGCTTGAGAGCTGAGCTCCAGAAATAAGAATATAGTAGGGTATTCTTTGTGTAGAACATTATTAATAAGAATAACATTTGTTCATACAATATACTTTTTTGGGACAAACTTCAGGATGAAGGAACAAGATGAGGCGTTTGTCAGCCAGAAAAAGGAATATGACCGGGAGATCCAGTACCTGCGTTTGCTCCTGAAAGAGAAGGAAGAAATAATCCAGTCTTTAGAGAGCGACAAAAAGTAAGTCAGATGTGTTAACTCCTTATCTCCGGCAAGCCACTCTCAGCAGCTCGGTGAGCCGCTTGGGCACATTCCTTTACCAGGGTTCCCGCGGCCTCCTTGAATTCAAGGAGTCCTGGAAAACTCCTTGAATTTGCATTCAAGGAAAAAATCTCCTTGAAAACTCCTTGAATTTGAGGAACCCCCTTGAAAACTCCTTGAATTTGAGGAACCTCCTTGAAAACTCCTTGAATTTTGCCAGATCGGACAGAGGGTGACTGCCAGGCCCCGGGGCCCCCGGGTATTACCCAGAAATTTGAAAAAAAATTGCCGAGACCCGGGAATGCCCGAGGAATTTGAAGAAATCTCTGTAAATTGCCCTGGGAAAATATATAAATTTCTCGAATACTTGAAAACCGAATCCGATAATGTCCTTGAGTTCATTTTTGCCGGTCGCGATTGTGATATTTGACTTTTCCCGGCCTGAGAGTACGTTACACGCGGACAGGCGGCTATGGCGGCAAACGGAAGAGTATGAGTAATGGGGCCCCTACCAAAGCTCGATCGGGAAAATCAAGATCTGCTTTTGCTTTCGTTACCACCCAGAAATTTGCCGGTAGTAGTCTGATAATAGTGACAACGCAACATTTGTAACCTGCAGGTTGAGCATTACAAACGCTGTGTCAACGTGAAAATAAGTCATTTGTCCTGTGCTGTCACTTTTATACAAGCGTCTTGTCGGGCTCGCTTTCGTGACAGGTTCGTCTGTTCGCATCACATCGTGAGTATCGACGTGAGGTCACCTAAGTTCATTCAAAGTCTGAGCGCCTCAAAGTATAGGACTCGGGAATGGGGGATTATAGATTTTTATTTTTAGACGCAAGGGGGGGAGGGGATGGGGTTGAAAGCAACACCGGATGACGATAACTGAACTTGGATGTAGATTTTACTTTTCAGAATTTTGACTACTACTAGATTCTAGATCTAGAGCTCTCTGCAAAGTGCGGGTTGGTGCAGGCTTTGTGTGGAATCGGGATCCGTCATACTCATACTCAAACCTTGTAAGCCGTGTTTTATCTTAACTGAAGGGTTCCCGTTTCATTTTGTGAGTGATAGTAAATTACATCATGTCTTGTATTTTCTATATTTTAGCTTTCTGTTTCAAGATTCGTAGATTTTCAGTGTCGCTGCATATTCTTGCCCTCCCACAGTTCTTACACCTCTCACACTGAATAGGTCTTCTTGAGCCATTCAAGTTATTACTCTACTTTGAGTTTGGCTTTCACGTTTATTATATATACCTTGACACCCAAACTGGTTTTTGACAGTCGATATTCTAGCTCTAGGCCTTTTCTCAGGCTCAAAACCAAATTAATTTTTATATATGTAGTGCGAGTATGATGAGGGAAAAAATATAAATAAGTAAAGAACAGACTGAAATACTGAAGTCACGCTATACCCCAGTGCCACACTGACATGTTTTTGACTGGATATGATGTACCTACCTGCATGCGCGCGTTTGTGTGTATATTACATATATAATATATAAATGGAGCATACCCCTGGAAAATTGAGAAGCCGGGGTGGCAGTCACCCAGGAACAGAGTTTTTGTAGGAAAATCGACACTATGATTTCTTTCGGATAAGTGTAGGCCTGTCGGAAATAGGCTTTCGTCATGAATTTCTTGACCAAATCTCCTTGAATTTAAAAAAAATTCTCCTTGAAACGTCCTTGAAATCTCCTTGAATTTGGTGGGAAGTTCATGGCAGGAACCCTCCTTTACGACGACTTCGACATCAAATTATTTTTCGGCAATTTCCAAAAACAGGTCTTTTATACTGAAAGTTCATTCATTAGATGAAAAACTGTCAAAATAGGTTTGCTAGTTTCGATTTAATAACCCTTTTAATGACATTTTTGTCATTTTTAGATTAAGCACCAAAAAGGGCCCCGACGTAGTGGATTTACCTCCTTCAAAGATAAAGAGTTAAACTTTAATGTTTTGAATTCGACGAGGTGATTTGCCAGTCTATCAAATGGTGTTCCAGATATAAACATTATAAGTAGGTAGCGTAAACACGGCCTCGCGGGCACTCGCATCTTTCCGAGCACATGGTATGGGTGAAATCAGGGTATTCAGATTGCTGTTTCTTTGCTCTTTCGCTATAAAACACCAAATGCTGTACACCTTGTAAAAGTTCAGCTTTTCCTCGTTTCAGTGGTGTAAGTTGTTTATATGTCCGATTATTAGGAGCTGGAGAATCGCCGTGGAAAGTGAAGCCGTGCGTGGTCGGGCGGCTTGAGGTTAAAGAATGGTACTGAAATTCTCATGAGATATAGGCCTTTTATATATGGAACAGATAAATTTGGCATACAGCTACTTTGAAAATTTAGTTTCTGGTACCTATTATAAGTAACACACAGTCTGTTCTAATTTCTTCATATGCTTCTTGCAATTTCGTTGTATGCTTTTGGATATTATGTAGAAATTCAGATTGGATCTACTTATCACATTCTTCATTTATTGGCTGTTTTTGGAGTAAGCTGACTTTTTTATTCAATGACCCTTATTCTGAAACTCTCAAATCAAACGCCTCAAATTATACATTAGTGGCCTCATAACTTGTGCATTCATTATCTGTAGTGACAATTTATTAACTGTCATTTCTTTACCAAAACTGCATTTTTTCAATTATTTGGCCATTATTACAGACATGCAAATTGTTTATATATATGCATGATAAAATATACAAAGTCTTTGACGGAATTGCATCACACTGATGAGGAAATTGAAACACATGTCCATGCCTTAACAAAACACTCTCTAAACATAATGTCTAGCAAGAAAATTCAATTTTAACTTATCAAATTTTCTAAATTGTTCGTGTTCAAACAGGTCTTCAATTTTATTCGGACGTCTTTGTTGACAAGTGTCACAATAAGTCACTGTTGTACAAAGCAATTAAGAGTACTTTCGGGCATTGAAACTGTTATGTTATTGCTTGAAGGCTTAGCAAGCGGCATGATATCTTTAGCTTGATTAACTGATTTGGTAAACAATTGCCTTACACGTCCCACCCGTAGTCTTTTTGTCTTTTCAAAAATCAGTGTTTATGTGAAGAACTGTATTTTATCATTTCAATTGTATCATTTTTCAGAGAAATTGAAAAGGATTTAGACACAATGTGGCAAGCTGCCAACTCGGAGAACAAGAGAGTGAAAAACATTCTTCTAAGTGGTGGCCGGAAGCTCAAAGATAATGTCCACATTGCAGATGCCTTGAAGGAGGAGCTCGAGACTGAAGAACGCTTACATTTTTCTGATAGTGAATACGATCATGAATGACCTCTTTTTATGTATAGATAGGAACATGCTCTTTTACTCTATGCAAATTTAGAGAAAAACTGGTTACTTATGATGTTGCTTGTTGATGGGGGTTTTTGGACACAATTTAGGTCTTTTAGTAGGTGGGTTGCTTCAAGTAGTTCAACTCTGCTTATCAGGGCTAACTCAGGCTGAGTGGGACGCAATAACCGAGCAGACAGACGAAGATACTCAATTTTTAAAAATTCACCTTTCAGGAAATGAACTTCTCTTGCAATCTATAGCAAAGAGCCCAACCATTGCATCACAGAAGATGGTGTTCTTTTGTGCCAAAATTTTAAGGAGACAATGAGAAGTTCATGTAAATTATATATTAATCATTTTATATAAACAGGCAATACTGAGAGCTCCTCATGGACTTGAGTTCTCTCAAGGGTAGTTCCTCAGCACCTTAGTAGAGGTTAGAGTTTAGAGTAGAAACTGGCGTGTGTTCAGATTTGCAAATATGGCAGACGTGATGTACCAATACTGCTTCAATATTTAAAAAAATAGAATTCCCAAGTCTTTGCTGTGATATTTATTTTAAATGCTGATGTTGTTAATGCTGCACTGAAAAATACTTCTTCAAAATGTGGATAGGGACGTTTTTTTCTTTGTACTTCACCGAAGTGTGGTGGGATGACAGAGGGAAAGAGCGAGATGTGTTTCACCCAGGTGTAATTAGTCAGTCCACCTGTACCGTCAGGCATGCGGTGAGGGACAAATTAAAAGTGCCCTGGAAAAAAAAGTACAGTGGTACACGGATAACTAAAACACGCCAGGGATTGACAAATGTTTTTGGCACTCCATAAATCAGGTTAACAAATAAAAAAAATTAATTAAAAGAGACATCTGTCAGTCAGGGAATGGAAAATTGTACAAGCTATCCTTGATTTCAAGTTTTCAGTGTTTTTGTTATCTGTGCCCAGCTATACATGGTCATAGGGGTGTATCCCTTTGTTGTAACTACATGTAGTCTGTAGACCAACAAGTAACCAGTCAGAAATCTGAAAAGGAGTTTCATGCCAGTTGTAGCTACTTTATTCTGTACATTTTGTATACTATTATTACTGTATAAATGCATCATGTGTACTTTTCTCATGCTTTTTTCCTTCTGGCACCGTGTGATGTTAATATGTGTATAATACACATTTGAAATTTAACAAGATGAAACTTATGTTACATCATATTACCTGTAATATTTTATTATAAAATCCGTCCGTGTTTTATGGTGCTACTGTTACTCTATCAATGGTGTTTTCCATTCATTCCATTTATAAATAATATGTATATGAATCTGAACGAGTATACAAGAACCATGTGCAGTAGAGTCACTTATATATTATGAATGAATACTTGTTGGCACCCCCGCGCCACCAGACCAGCTTCATAACCCTACCGAAACGGCTCGAAAGAATCACGCTTGATGCTGTGAACTGGTTATAAATCATCTTTGTTCCAAAAGGTAGCGTCCAACCTGTTGGGGTTCATTGTCCAATTTCTCCTCTTTTTATTGGAAATGGTTCTGGTCTCTCACTCTGGTCTTGGTAAGCTGAGATGCAGACTCCACTTTTTTCAGTGCTGCCAACATATTATTAATATTATGTAAGCAAGACTGAAGAATAGACAGTTTGTGTTTTTATAAAGAGGAAGCACCAGTCTTTAATGTGTGATGGGTCATAAATTTTCAGAATAGTAGTTCAGTTCTTCAGAACAAGTTTGGTCTATGACTATTGTAGTGTAGGTTCTGCTACCGGAGACTCCCGAGAATCCAGAGCTTTCTGTATCACAGGAAGGTTAGCGTTTTTCTCACGTGAGCTTAATGAGGGCCTCCAGGATCTATAAATAGGGCCCTTGGGATATCCACCATTCTTGAGTGGCTCAGTGGTGCATGCTGTGACCTACTCTATTAAAATCTTGTGTTTAAAATTGTTTATTTGATTATTTGTTGAGGGAATCAGTTGGGGGTTTTTTAACGCAGCTTATGCACATGAGAGGACCCTAACTTTTGTCTAAGTTAAGGTTCCCGACTTGCGAAATGGTCTGGCACACGCACCACTGATCTTAGTTACTCAAACTTGAAAGTGTCTTGTCCAAGTAGATGTATAACTTAAGATTTCTCTCGCTGTGAAAGTTATCTAGAACATTATGATTATGTGCAAGTGTAGGCCTCATGTTATGGAACAAGTTCAGTCCATTATGTTTAAAAGTTGGCCTCATGCTAAGAGGAACAAGTTCAATCAACTTGTCTAAGATTATTTCGAATTTTATTTTCGTCTCTTTTGTCATGTGGCTTGGTAAGCATATTTAGCAACATGGATGAATGTAGAGTAGGAGGGATTTTGACGGAGTGGGTAGTGTTTATGCCCTTTCAAAGAAAGCAGCTAGACTTATGAGAAGTAAGTGAATTCAATGTATGGATTTACCCTTCCATCACTTTTACGTCTACTAGGAGAATATGTACCTCCATAAGAAAGTATGTCGTGTGACACAACCCACCCATGAGTATGCTCTCTGGTCTAATGTGATAAAATGCTGCAATGTGCAATACTCAATAGATACTAATGTTCAGCCTTGTCTTCCAAGGTCAGCATTCAAAAAGGGCCAACCGTGAATATCTGAATATGGTACATGAATACATGTTTTGTACATCATGTTTGATTTAATTTACATGTACACACTTTGAGCGAGTTTTGATTTTTAATCTAGCTTTGTGTCTTCTTCCAAAGTGATGAAGACAAAGTTAAGAGCATTTTATATTACTAAGAATACATGTATACTTCAGGTTGTAAATATACTGTATATCTTTTACTCCACGTATTTACACATGTTTATTTATAATACAAAAACAACTTGAAATTCAGTTTCAGTCTCTGTTTTTGATGTTTTGTAAAATTAATTGTGTTTGAGATGAAGAACAGATGAGCATGCGTTCAGAGTTCAGAGAGACTTCCTCGATTGCAAAAATTATAAGTGTTTTACGCCCCCATCAACACTGCTTGGATCATTTGGTCGCTTTGAAGGACAAGCAGGCTAACCCAGAATTCGGGGGGTTCCAGAAATCTTGACCTTCCCCAAAAGTGAGCATTGCCTTACCAATTGAAGTTTGGTTTCATTTGTGTGTATATATGTTTGGTTATAGAGAAAACTAGAGAAAACTCTCCTTGTCTTTTACTTTTAAAGAAACTGATCAAGAGTCCAAATACTTTACCTTCGATTTTCTCAAAACAGCATTTTTCGGGATAGCCCCGTTGTGCTTAAAAGCGACCATTTGAGAGGCTGAGGGCAAAACCCGCTTTATCCATTTTAGCACTTTTGAGAACATCTGATATACACACGAACATGGGTTTTCTAGTTTAAGTAGAGTTTTTACGGAGCTCGCAACTGCTTAAAGTCATATGAGCGCCAAGGGGTGGATGTCAACAGAGAAGTCCTTACAGGGAATCAGACTTACTCTGCTCACCTCTCTAGCTTCAACAATACAAAGTCTGCTTCGACTGTCAAGGAAATAGCGGGTCACAAGAGTGTGACAAACATACAAAAGAAGTAGAGGGAATTGATGATAGTAAGGATGAGGTAAAAAAAAGCAGCAGTTCCCTGTTGCAGTTCCGGCACAGTTTTGAGCATGATATCATAATATCAATAAATCAGCCCAATTTTACTGTGCAACAGAACATACATGGTAATGCCCCCCCACCCCCCCACCCCCCCTTTGGGTTGACAAACATGGCTTTTGTGAAGTATGTGTTGGGTTTTGGCCAAAAACACTTTGTACACGTCCAATAGCTGGTAACAATGTGCATTTTAATTTAATTTAGGCAAAAAATCACAATTTTTTCCAAAATGTTGCTTAGGGTTTTGCATCTCACTGCCTCATTTATAGATGATGGGAGCTTCACCCATGGCTGTCAGGCCTGTCAATGCACATTGATTTTTAAAAAATTAACTGGCTAATAGTTTTGTTTATGTTTTAGTAAGTTTTACTGTGCTTGCAACACAATTAGATCATATAAGTACCGAAGGTTAGAGGTCTTAATCTGTACAAGAGAGTAATAAAAGCAGAAAAGGAGAGATAAGAAAAAGATAATTGATAGAAAAAAAGAAAGAAACCACCTCAGAGCACACACCAACCACCTGCTGCTAATCATTTTGTTTGTTTTGGTAAGTGTTTTACGGCACTCGCAACAGCGTACGGTCATAATGTCATATGAGCGCAGTACACAAATTTTTAGTTAGGTAGGAATTTTGAATTTTGCCCGGGTGGCGACCAAAGACTACTCTTATCGATTTTGGGCCACCAAAGAATCTTTTAAGTGGGAAACTTGCACACGAGACCTCCGAAATGTTTCGCCCTTATCCAAGAGGGCTAGTTCAAACTAGTTGTAGATCTTACCTACCCTACTAATACATGAATGGTGCATCAGGTGTGTGGCTGAAAGTTTTTGTTTTAGTAAGAGTTTTACGGCACTTGCAACACAACAAGGTCATATAAGTGCCGAAGATTAGAGGTGATACAAGAGAGTAACAAACACAAAAAAGGAGGGGAGATAAAGATGATAGATGTTTGATAGGAAAGAAGAAGCAAACCACACCAGAGCACCCGCCAACTAGGGGAGGGCACGAGACGGGCCGAGTACTCGTTTCTCGCGAGAAATGCCCTTCCCATCGCTGCCCGGGCACGTAACTGCTGCCCGGGCACGTAACTACTGCCCGGTGCCGAGAAGTGATACTGCTCGTTGGCTTTACATAACGAGTAACAGTAACGAGAGTGAGAGGCGAGAAATGACACACAGACAGTGCCACCCATCACTGTGCCGTCCTGTGTGTGAAACTGAAAGGGAGGGGAAAGGGTGGCGAGAGGGGAGTTGATCAGGGCCTAGGCCTAGATCTCCCTACCTTCCTTCACCACCTGCGCCTGCGCAACAGGGCTAGCCTAGTTTAGATCCCCGCCACGACTGGCCTTCTCGCTGAGCGAGTTGCCCCTACTGCGGGGTGAGAAGAGAAACTGGTCACGAGACGAGAAGCATTTCTCGGGACATGAGACGAGGAGCATTTCTCGGGACATGAGACGAGAAGCATTTCTCGGGACCGGGACCGGTCCCGGCGAGAAGTAGGTCAGCTTCTCGGGAAGGAAAAAGCGCTTCCTGCCCGTCACTACCACCAACCACCCATGTGGCTGAAAGACAGCAGTAAGAATAGAAAGACCAAAGGAGTAGCATTAGAAAGGCTGCAGAAAGAGTCAGGAGCCCAGAGGAGGGGGCAGAAAGTGGAGACAAAAGCAGACGACAGAACATGGTTAGAGAGCAGGAAAGAAGGTGAAAGGAGAGATTCTTTTCTAAAATTTTCCTAGTCACTGTCAGGTTACGAACCTGGGACCTACTGAATGAGAGGCTAACACCATAACCTCTACACCACGAGAGCCGCTGGACATCTGGTCTACACATGATGCACTTTTTCTCAATTATCTGTACTACTACAGAGGAGCCTAACCTTTTGTTGAGCCCTATCCATCGGTACACTCCGAAGGCAAGTAAAATTACCCGTATTCCAAGCCACTGGTACACCGGTGAGCAAGACAATATCCCTCAACCGGCCTGCCTGGGACAAAATGCGCTTTGAAAACAGTGTTTACTATACTGGGCATTATTGAACATTTTGAAGATCTTTCTGAATTAGATGCCGGTACATTGGAACACATATTCAACTAAGTCTGGCCTGATCTTCAATTTCATTGAAACCGAACGTTCGTAATAGAAAATAAGGTTTTTGTGTAGATAATTACGGGCACCGAGCAAGCAATGTAAAATGTGTTCAGCTTGCTGAATCAAAAGTAGTCTGGTTTCATGAGATGCATTTTCGTTGATGCCATACCAAAGAAATGCTGGAAAATTCAAGCAAAATACACTGAACTCTACTAAGCACACTCTGTGCTAATTAAAATGTCCAATTAGTTCAAATGCACGCCTGTGTCGTCTATCATCTATATGATCTATGGCTTACTCTTTGCCGAACAAGTTGTGTTGCTGTGTACAGCCAGTAGCAGTAGCATATGGCAACGTTTAATTCCACAGACCAGCGCATAATAATTCATTATGTAGATCCTTGTCAAGACTAGCTTATCATTGAAATATTGATCAGTAGCTAGGGGAAAAAATGACAGAGTAGTGTGACGCATTTGTATGATCTCTACTGGTTACCGGTGTTCCATCCAGGCCCGGTCCGCTTGTGCCCCCCCCCCTCCACCCGGACATTGAAACGCACACAGGCACACACACACACACAGTCACACATTCATTACACACACATGCTGGCCGCTTGTCAGAAATGTATGCGTTCTAACAACATGTGTATTCATGAAAGAAGGCCGCTGATTGGTTGTATAATAAGAAGATCATATGTGTGTGTGCCGAAAGAAAGGTACCAAAAGAGGGATTTTAACCATTTGGAGATAAGGCTTGTACCTAATAGGGGACATCCAATGCTGAACACAGTGGTTTTTGAATTATTTTAGAGATATCCTAAGTAATTTTTTAGATATTGCACATTTTGCAAGGTAGGGTACAAAGATCTAATTTTGAGAAAATTAAGCTTTTAATTTTAAGTTTAGAACACATGCAAACTTGAAAGAAATGATGATTCAATTGTTTCTAATGTATTTATTCATGGGAAAATTCATTTCCAATTCGGCATTCAGTCAGTTGACATCAGTATCATGATTAGAATTCAATGGTAAAAAAACATAGCGGGGAAGAGAAAATGTGCTTCAACAATAGATTTTGACACCTTTTAAAAGCAGTTTTTATTAACTTTTTAAAACATGCCCTACCCTCATAACAATTCACAATAAAAGATTTAAAAGTCAAATCAATGAAAACTCTTTTGAATGCATTGTTAAAAAATGGAGAAAATTATCTTTTTTTTTTTATGGAAGCACATTTTGGTCAAAAAGTGATTTTTTGTCATTATCACTTATCAGCCTGTAGCTCAAAAAGGTCTGTGGTGACTTTTGGTAGGCCTACCTTTCTTTAGGCACACACACATATAAACAATAGGCAATGCGAATAATGGTTCACAAGCAGATGTCATGGATGGCTTCCAGTAAGAGATAAAGTTCGTTGCAGGAGAATAATGAATAAATCTACATCAGCAGGGGCTGTTCACCCTGCAAGCGCTGTATTCGAGCTTGCTCATTTATCATTTATCTATTCGTTGAAATCCGAGTTATATTAATTAATTTTCATGTATTAAAAAAAACGGGGAATCTACATCCTTTAGTTGAATTCAAGTTTTCATTTGATCCGAGTTCATTGAATCTAAGTTCCACAGTAATGATGAGGACTATCCCGAGTAGGATATGAAATTTGATTCTGACAATGATATGAATGAAGGTGCGAACTGCTCAAGAACTAAGGCAGAAGGGCATGGTAGCCTCAGGAGATCAGGGCTCAAAGGGCAAAGAGCCCAATCATTTCACCACAGACACTGGTCATCTGTTAACTCCAATGTCCCATATAGAACAGATTTATATAAGGAAGGGAAAACATTCTCACGATAAGTTATCATTTTCCTCATTCTTTCATGATGCCTCTCTTTCCTTGCTTCTTCCTTGGTACACCAAAGTTCCTTCCAATTGCCAAACGCAACTTTCTGTCCAAAACACAAAGGCCATACTTATAATACAGAAAAGACAACAGAGAAGTGATGACTACTTTGACCAAAGACACACAACCCGGACAAATGACAAAATGGGATTTTTAAAAAACTAAAACAACCCTCCTCATTAATAAAAAAAACAAGTGCCACACATCCAAAACAGGGAAAAAAGAACAAACCAACACAGCCAAGACAATATGACGATACAATATGAGGACAAATAAAACCAAAGAGCAAAGAGCATTTCATCGGTATTTATTGAAAAATAAATACATTAAAAGTGATCCATCACACTTTCAGAAAACAGGCAATCTCTCCCATCACTTCTCCACTCACTCACTTTACAAAGTACTACTGCATAAAAACCTGCCCATCATAAGGCCCCTTTTTCAAATGACTTTTCCTACTGGCCACAGAAGATGAACATATCACAAACATTTTACTCACAAAACAGATCTATAAATAAATCAATGCCACCCTTCAGAGCCAAGCAATATGAGCCATTGCACATATGTTCCCAGACATATTGAGATTAGGCTGTACTTTAAAAAATCAACTGATGTTTGTTCCCCTAAAGCCCATGGCAAGAAGCACTGCAGACTATTATGTACTGAGATCCAATAAAACAAATGTAAAACTATCCTAAGCTTTTGTGTTTCCTTTTTCAACAATATATAACAATCTTTTACATTCAAAACAATAAACTAATAACATACATTCAGACAGCAACACATCCCCTTCTTCAAAGGTAAACATTACAAATATAAATAAATTCTACAATCACCATTTGCATCAACTCCCTTAAGTTAAATTTCCTCAAGAAATATATTCCTCACTCAGAATTCTATGCCTGCACCTTTACAGGCAATGTACAGCTTCTGACTGGGAATGAACCATGAGCTTGTGGTACACTTTTGTCTGTAGAGGGTAAATTCAGAAACTGCGTTAAAAAATAATATAACCCTAAAAAAGGAAACTTGGAGTCATTGTTAAAATCATAAGTATGATTAAAAGCATAGGAATCGAAACTAGAGTGTTCTTTGTAAGCCTTCCTGTTCTTCCAAGTATTTCATCTTCTTCCATCAACAGACAATAGCTTCCAAAAATTCTGAACAATACATGATTTTGAATAAACCGAAAGCCACTGTTCAACTTTCTCCAAATTACAAGTTACAGGACAGAGGTTGGTAGCACTGTGCTGCAATGAAATGCCAAAAATTCATATTTAGTTCAAGCCAAGTTGCATAGCCTCTTTGCAGCAAAAATATTAAACTTGAAACATGGACGCTTTATTGAAAGCAAAGTAGTCATGCAAAATATTGGTCTAAAAATCACATTAGTAGTGTCACCACGTCGTGAAATCAGGCGACAATCAATACTTGGGCATACAGAGTTATTGGTATCATCTTAACATTCGTTTACTTGTCTTGCTTTTGATTTTTTTTAAATACTCGCCTCTCTTGAACAAACATCAAGATATTTTTAATTGAAGGGTGTTGTCGCCTAAAGTCAGGGGTAAAATTAGCCACAACACAGAGAGCCAACAAAGTTTGGTGAATTCACAAGTTTGAGTATCCTTGGAAATTGCAAATATACTCTCTCCTTTTTTCCCCTCTAATCAACATTCTGCCATAAGATCCACATAGAAAGTGTTTTAAATGAATTGCCCAACAGGCAAAAAAATTCTGGTTTCTTCGATTTCATTATTTTGACAAACGACTGATTTCACCATGATGCAATACATTTGGTGTCGACAACACCAAAGCATCTGGCTTTTTTTTATGAAGTCTTTTTATGCTAATTTATCAACTGTAGCATTTAACAAAATCACTCCATCCCTTGAGGGAGCCTCATAGAATAGACCCATTTTGAGCTATTGTTACACTACGTTACTCTCACAATCGGGACACTTCCCGAAAAACTTAAGAATGAGTAAGAGATTAAAAGAAACCCACTGGGTCCATAACTCTATGGTGCAACTCATATCCCGATTCCCAATGCAACAAATACCTGAAATGAACATATTTCAAGTACTTCATCTTCTCCTTCTTGATCTACTCCGACTTCTGCTTTCACTGGACCTGGCCCTCTCTTGCCGTCCACGATCTCTTTCTCTCTCTCTATCACGACTCCGGGCACGCTCCTTCTCTCGCTCCTTCTCCCTCTCACGTTCCCTTTCTCGTTGCCTCTCTTCCCTTGCAGCTTCCTGAAACAGTCAGTATCAAAAAGTCATTTCAAAGTTTTACAAGTCACCCAGTGCAGAGGAGAAAAGTGGTTGTCTGAGACAGGTGATCATCTCGGACAGTATTATTAAAATGCAGAAAAAGAAAAGAACAAAAAAGGCGCACATTGGGGAAATTGTCATTTGTCCATGCGACTGTCTTGCACAGGTGGCCATTAGAGCAGGTTTAACTATATTCTCCTGCAGTCACCCATATGTCATTGTTTAGGTCTTTGTCGATCAAAATTTAGCTTTGGCACGATTGGTTGGTTGGTCGTGTAAAAAGAAGCACATTGAAACTTTTACGGTCATTTGGAGCTGAAGTAGTAGGCGTCCTCCAACCACCTGCTAGAGCAATTGTTACTCCATTACTTCTCTCAGAAGGATCATAGAACTAACCTGAGGAGGGTAAGGACAGGAGACAAAAATAAAGTTAAAGGAGCCTGAAAAGTTATATGAGTTTCGTTTGGAGAAACAGCGTGTCAATGAATGCACTCACCCTTTTCTTCTGTTCTTCTTTCTCCTTTTCCTCCAAGGCAGCTCTTCTCTTTTGACGCTCCTTTTCTTGTTCCTGTTTCTTTACTTGTCTCTGAAGAGCCTGGAGAGAGATATGTAAAAAATCATTTAAAATGTAAGAACAGATGTTTTACTACTGGAAACCTCCAATCAGACACGAGAGACAATACAGATAGATGGTGTTATGCTCTAACTGTGTTACTGGAAGAAACAGGACAATTTTTCTTCTGTTCTAAACCCCTTGTCGCTTGGTCAAAATCTTCATCCCCAATTAAAATGAAGAGCTAGCACGCATGCACTATAAATAAAATAAAATTGCCATGGACTAACTTTCATGAATTCTCTCATCAATTAAATCACATGAAACCAGTTACACTGTCATAGCATAACACCATCAATATATATACAGTCAAAATTGTCTCAGACAGTTACCTATAGTCAAAGAAAAAAATGTCTGTCTTAGACAGGTGGACCTCTTGGACAGTATCATTATAAAATAGAAAATATGCAAGGGGGCAGTAGGAAGCAGTCGTTTGTACAGGTGACTGTCTTTAAGACATGGCCGTTGGAGCAGGTTCCCATGTGAATTCATTTGTGAGCTGTATTGAAGCAAGTTTAGCAACAATCAGAGTAGTTTTGAAGTTTATTTTACGAACACATTGGATTCAACTTCAAAGACATCCAACAGAATGCACAAAGAGTTATAAAACGTTAAACTGGAGTTAGTCACAAGGTTGTAAAGTTTCTCCAAAGGACAATATATGAATTTGAAAGGAAGAGCTTTCCGGGAGGTGGTTTGCATCAAGTTCCCATTCTCCGCTCAAATGTTGCTCTCTTGCGCTGATATCATTGAGGTTTTTTTATCAGCTGTGCAAAAGTACTTATCATGCTGCTGGCTACTTCTCACATGATACACACACTCCCTGTACACAAGTCCTTCAGCCATGTAGGTAAATGGTACTTGGGACAAACAACAGAGGCAGGTTCACATTGCTAAAAAAAGAAAATCCCGTAAGCCACTTTCACATTACTCCTTCAAAAAAAAATTAGTAAACTACCCTTATACAGCTCAACCAAAGCGAAACGGTTTGGGATGCACTTCAAAATACATTCGAAACTGTCCAAGACAGCCACCCATTGTCAAGAAAAAAAGTGGTAGTTTCAGCAAGCTCTTGGATAATGTCATTTTAATATAATTTTTTTTAAAGTAATGGGGAAAGTGGTTATTTGTACATGTGATTGTTTTGGACAGAATGCAAATAGTGCCGGCTAGACTGTATATTGGTGCTGATCTAAAGAAAACCTTTTACCTGTTCTTCTGTCAGAGGCAGCCAGTAAATACAAGGGGTTGCCTTTGTTTTTCTGAATAAGTCATCCAATAACTTGGCAGGAGGTTCTTCTTCAGCTTTCGTTTCTGCAGAAAACACAATTTAGTCATGGAGTCAAACACATTCCTGAAAGTACCTAGACTTCTAAAGTAACAGTGATCAAAGAACAATGGCCCTAGTGGATCAGATTCTTGGACAACTTTTTTTTCTTAGTTTTTAGTTTTAGTAGAGGTTTTACGGTGCTCGCAAATGCAGAAGGTCACATCAGCGCCAGAAGATTAAAGGTGTTACAAGAGAGTAACAAACATAAAAGAGAAGAAGAAGGGGAGATAAGGACGATAGATGTTTGATAGGAAAGGAGGAGCAAACCACACCAGAGCACCCGCCAACAACTTTTTATCTCAAGTGCAAAGTGTAGTAAACCAAATGACAAGTCTCTGAAATATACAAGGTGAAGAAACTGCCGGCAAAAATTAGAAGCAAGACAAGAAATATCAATTAAAGTAGGCTTCGGCCGCCACTCTAGCAAAATTCAAAATTCCTACAAAACTGAAAATGTTTAATGTGTCCCACACGCTCATATGACTTTATGAAGTTGTGAGAGTCGTAAAACACTTACGCTGTAAAAAAAAAAAAAGACAAGCAATGGAAGAAGGCTCTTCCGTGTACCTTACTCACTACTACAACCACATGTGGGTTTCAAGGCAGTGTCTTGAACAGATATCAAACAGACATAACTCACAAATTTACCTGGACAAGTGAACCATATCAAATACCTTTTTGTTTCTTTTCTTTGCGTCTGTCTTCATCTTTCTTTTCTCTGCTTTGCTCCCTTCTCTTCTGCCTTTCTCTATCACGGGAACGAGACCGTGATCTTCTCAGAGGGCGCTCATCCTCCTTTGATCTTGATCTTGATCTGCGGAAACACATCGACAATAATTACAATCAAAGAAACGAATATAAACAAGTTCATAAGCATAGAGTAAAGGGAGGATCCTCCTTGACCGAACTCTCCAGTCATTTCTTATATCTACTTTGTGTTGAGAAAACATTTAACCGTTTCGCACTTACAGCGCCCGTATGCGCCCACGACCCCCGCTCATCCCTACAGCGCCCGAATGCGCCCGCCACAGGGGTGTTTGTTTCGTGGCCGCGGGAGGCTTCTACTTTTACTATCATCAGAAGTTTAACTTAGCTATCTTCATAGAGGAAGAGTTCCGGTTTACTATGGTGTTTTTCTTGTTCCGCTAGCACAAAGAGTCATTTTTTGAGCGGGAACAAAAGTCGGAGGAGATTTTAGTTGTAAACACGCCATCATGTCTCTAGGATGCATGGGCGCAAAGCTGCCCGATATGAGTACGGCAAAAACAAAATAAAAACACCCAAAGAAAAGTCTTTTCGGTGCTTTCAAGTTTCCACCAGAGGCTTCAATCTCCGTGAATGTGTTGTATTTCTTTTGTGTGGATTACCTCTTTGTCAGTGGCAGAAACTTCGTGAGTTGAAGAAATGTAGTATACAAGGTCTAGATCTAGATCTAGATTCGGAATCCAAGACACGCATCTCAGAAAGACCTCTCACATCATTTCATACTCTTCTATTCCACTTATAATTTTGTACTAGTAATTTAGCTCATTCATTTTCTTTTCAGAAAATACTATTTTCATAATTTTTGGTTGTGTTTGTGATTTTATACAATTTTTTTAGTAAGGTACCCCTTCAATTTTCGTGGAGTTGTTGCCCTTGTCTTAAGGATGGGGGGCCACAGCTGGCCAAGCCTGCTAAGTGCGAAAGGGTTAAGGGGTCTAGCTACCAAGAAAAGCTATCTTAGTTATTTACGCATCTTTTGAAACCAAACTTTACCAAAATATGTGGTACCCTACCAAAAATAAATAAAAATGTTCAAAAACAATTTAACCCAAAGTGTTAAGTAACACCGGCGGCCATATTAAAAGGATGCAATACTTTAAAACCTTTAAAGTAATGTCCCTTTTTTGTACCAATTTTAAACACAAAATCAATTTCAAATGCAGATTTCCGAAATACAGTCAAACCTGCCTCGACGGCCACCTGTACAAACGGCCACTTTCCATTTCCCCCCTTGCGTTTTTTCTATATGATTTAACTGAGTAAAACGGGCACCTGTCCAACACGGCCGCGGCCACCATATTTTAACACACAACCCCTATCACACTAAGCAATAACACCTGTCTTAGACGGCCACCTTAGTGACTCCATTACGTTTTGTCATAAATCATACATTGGCCCCTGGCGTTGTGGGCGAGCCGTCATAATTCAATCACCTGTCGTTGTTAGGTAGTCCCTCCAACCGATAATGATGCTTAGGCCCTTCCCACTGTTGACCAATAGCTACCAATTTTCAGCTGCTGGTGAGGTAAGCGTGCGATCCCTCATAACCCATAAGCCCCACACAGATCTCATACAAAAATCGTAAGTGAGATGAGGGGTCACTGTTTACCCAGTCTGTAACAAAGTAACAATGGACGTCAACATGAACTTGTGACAGAAGCGTCCCTTGTTCTCCGAGTGGTGGCAACCCATGTGTTTGTTTTAACATGGCACTCGGTCTTCCTTGTCTGATACATTTCGTTTTATTGTCACCCTTGTGCAAAATCAGCAACAAAATAAAAATTACAAACAAAATACAAACCAACAACAAGAACAACAACAAAGCGGCTACTTTCGATTGGGACCTCAGATGGAAATGATTTGTTTTCTTCATCTTGATCAGTCCTGCCTAAGACGGCCACCTGTCTTATACGACCACTTTTCTCCTTGACAATGGGTGGCCGTCTTACACAGGTTTGACTGTATTAAGTAAATTTTCTCAAATATAACTAGCCAGGTACCTGTAACTACCAAATCTGAACATACTTGGAAAGTTCCAGTAAATTTTCTTGATAAGTAATTCAGATTATAAGATTTGAGGGATGAATGGTCTTTCAAAAATAAAGTTTTGAGAAAAACATTTAAAATTGTCACTGTAATTTGAGGGTTTGTTCCTTCGGGAGGTTCCAGTACCAGTATCAATTTTTTTACCAAATGGACCAGAAAATCAGATTCAGCAATGATCAAAGGTGTTAAAAAGCAGCTGTCCAGAAAATCAATAATTTCATCGAAAATTTATCAAAAATGTTACATGTTAGACCCCTTAAACATGTTGAGGTCAGATAATCAATATGTTTGGGGGTTTTTTTTAGGTGAACTTGTTTAACAGTCAAAACTTTACCTTCTAATCTCCAGTCTGTGAAATAAATTTTTTCTTGGAGTAATCTTTCTCATTTTTCCTTTCTGTACATTGACCAGAAAAAGAGGTCCCATCTTACTAGCATTTACAAAAGTGGAAAAATTGTAGATACCAACATAATAAAAGCAACAGAGAGACAAATTTAAAACGCAATTAGAAAATGGTGACTGATAAAAAATAAACAAAAATATAACACGTAGAAAGAAAAATAGAACACAAAAGCAGACTTCAACCTGTCATCCACATGTTCAAAATCATCAAAACACTGCTGTGATCCAATAAACAGAAAGAAAAAAACAAAATGAGATTTGGCCTACCTTGAAAGCTGTTGGATCTTATCTCTGTCCCATTCTCTCACTGGATTCTTTTTCTCCAGTTCTCGTCTTCTCTGACGATCACCCTCCCTTTTCTCTCGGGCTTCTTTGTCCCTTTCTTCCCTTTCTTTTTCTCTCTGTTCACGAGCCTTCTTTCGCTCATCATCTTCTTTCTTTTCTACTGGCTTTCTTTGTTCCTCCTGTTTTTTAGGTGGTATGGGGACACCAGCATCCTCAGCTTTTCTGTGCTCCACCTTCAAAGCAAGAAACATAAACGAAACTTCTAGTCATTTGCAACAATGCTTATGAGCTAAACCAGAAAGCTATAGAACATACGCAGTTGCAATTTTTCTCCCAGGATGTACGTTAAAACTGACAAGCTCAACTACATCTTTAGAGAAGAAAAATTAACATCCGCATTATTTTTATACATACATTGAATCCTTGCCAAGATAAAACTACTGTGCTTCTGACTGTGAAAGGCAGAAATTGAGGAACATTTTAAAGGCCACTTTAAGGTTATAAAAGACAAAACAGAAAGTGTCTAAATAGTGTGACACTGCTGAGTTCTCAATTTTACATAATGGAAATCTTGGTTTTAGTAGGAGTTTAACAGCACTTGCAACACTATTTAAGTCAAATAAGTGCCGAAGATTAAGAGGTGTTACAAGACAGTATCATGCACAAAAAGGATGAGAGATAAAGACGATAGATGCTTGATAAGAAAAAAGGAGCAAACCACACCAGAGCACCCGCCAACCACCCATATAATGGAAATCTTTGATTGGGTATTATATTAAAATGCTGACATATAAAAGTTGAACTAAAATTATTCTAGATATAGAAATGATAACAAAGCCACAGAATACAGTCGAAGTTGTCCAAGACGACCACTCCCTGTTGCCTTATAAAACTAGACATCTTCGACAGAGTAATTATAAAGTTTTTAAAGGGGAAATGGGAAATGGTCGGGGGAGTTTTTGGGTTTTTTATAGTAGAAGGCTTTATGGCGCTCGCAACTGTATAAGGTCATATGAGCGCCAAGGGGTGGATGTCAACAGAGAAGTCTTTACAGGGAATCAGACTGTTCACCTCTCTAGCTTCCACAGCACAAGGTCCGCTTCGAATATCAAGGCACCCCAAAATAGCAGGTCACAAGAGAGTGACAAACATACAAAAGAAGTAGAGGAAAATTACAATAGTAAGGATCAGGGGAAAAAAAGAAGCAGTTCCCTGTTGCAGATCAGGCACCGTTATGAGCGTGACATGAGTCAGCTCATTTACAATTCTATGCTTGAACGAGAAATGTCCTCTCTTTGGGAATGGCCCAAAGACACTTCAGTCAGTGGCACTTCCCCGGGGAGTAAAATGGTCGTTTATACAGGTGATTTGTCTTGTACACATGGTTATTGGAGCAGGTTCAATTGTACTTACATCTTCAAGGGTAGCGTAGTCCACTACAAGGATCTTTGGATTTGACTGGGGCCATTTAGTACCATGAAGACATGATCTTGCTTTTACAGCATCCTCTTCGGTTTTGTACTGCCAACAAAAGTTCCAAGAAACAAAAAGTTTAGCAAGTATTGTTAGAAGGACAGTGTGTATTTCAATTTCCCCACTGCCTTAATAATGAACAACAACAATATGAATATTGAAGACAAGATCCTCTATACCATACAAATTGCTTCAATATTTGACAATTACAGCAACTGAACCCTTATACAAAAAAAGACTAAAAAATAATGGAAATAAAATTATTTTATCCACATCTGACTTGAGATTCCTAAGAATCCAAAAGGCAACACAGTGTGTGTGTGTGTGTGTGTGCATGCGTGCGTGCGTGCATGAGCATGAGAAGACAACTCATTTTAAAAAATGTTATTACTCATTTTAAAAAGTTTTTTTTTTATGGTATAAGCAATTCTCAGCATAAAGAACACCAATATAAAAAAATAATAAGCAATGGCCACAACACACAAGTAATTAATTACAAGCAAATCAACCCACAAACTAAGATACCGATGTGACAGAAACAAAATTAAATACATTGATTCTTTTTAAAAAAAAAAAAAAAGGTCACTGACATTTCCATCAAAATTAATACTTATTTAAGAAATGCTTAATCAATACCTGAAGATAACATACACTTACCGCTGCTAAACAATGCGACTTTATATCATTGATCCAAAAGTATTCTTCATCCAGCTCTCCGCTTCTTCTCAGGAGCTCCTTCAACTGGTTGACAGTGAACGGTCGCACTAGACACGCAATGCGAATGACTCTGTCGACAGGATTTCTGGCTGGAGACTGGGAACCTGTGCCAACAGGCTCTGGTTCATCTACAGCCGGTAATAGCGGTTTCGCAGGCCTTGTAGTAGCTGTTATTCTCTCTGAAAATAGATGTGCAATAGGAAACCCAATAATACCCTCAAGGCTTAAAAAATTCTCACTGAAATCATATAAAACTTTTATCTTCATTCAGCACATTAAAATTTTGCTTATATTAGAACCAGTAAACTGTAAAAACTTAATGACCATACGAATGTTGATCCTGTAATGTGATGAAGTCGAAACTCAAAAATTCATTGAGGCATATATTCTAAACTTTGCAATCACAAACATAACAAAAAGAGTTTTTTCTATGTATATCCTAGTGACACTGTCCAAGAGAACCACCTAATCAACATTCCACCCCATGACTGCACTTTTAATTCAGCCAAAATATACCCCACAAAATACAAACTGCTCTATGAAATTTCATTTTCCATAAACCATACACCTACCTAACAAAGCTTCGACCATGCTTCTCATCCATTTGCTATCTCATATTTCTGGGTAACCCAAGCCGTGTCGGGTACAACTATTGTATAGATGTGAACACCACGCACAAGCCTTTAAGCTAACACAATTACCTTTGCTGTCCTTTGAGATTGCCTTCTTTCCTTCAGCTTTGTCTTCTTTCAACGTCTCATCTTCTTCTTTCTTTTTCTTTCCTTTCTTTATCTCCTTGAGCTTTTTCCCTCCCTCCTTTGGAGCAGCAGAGGTGATTTTAATAATTTTCTTCTCTGTGTCTGCTGGGGGTGCTGTCTCTTCCACTGTGGTCACATCCTCACGGGCTTCCACTGTTCTCGCATCATCCTCCACATTGTCTACTTCCATTTGCTCAGGCGAATCCTGTTGGGAATTTCAAAAATTATATGTAGGAATTTTAATAGATCTGAACTCAACAAATTTGTTCACATCTCTTTCACGTGAGAGATGATGCATCATGGTCTGCGGCAAATAAAACTATAGCAAAAGCTGAACATCTACAGTCCAGCTTCTTTTTTGCACACACATATTACTTTTCTAAACAGAAACTCATTTTACAAATCATAAAAAAGTATTTCAGATTCTGGGAGCCTATTACTGCAAGGCAGCCTTACGGTGGAAATTCTGTTGGGGGGGATGTTGTGTGTGTGTGTGTATGTGTGTGTCCCTCACAGAAAGTTAACCACACCCTCTAAATTCCAGTTAACTAGAGTAATCTGCACCATACAGTCTAGCAAGCATAAAGCAAAATTTGAGGAACGCAGAAATCTTTTGGTCATGTACATGTTTTAAATAAGAAAAAAATAAACATGTATTATAAGACAAAATTCAGGACCAGAAAAATCGTTCACTATGTGAGTCCTAGACTGTAAGTTAAAATGCATTTTTCATATTTAAAATAGAAAACAGTAGTAGTGTAACAAATATCTCTTTACTGAAAATAATTAATAAATATACATTTACAAAACTTTGTGACATGGTAAAAAATCAAAATGGATTCCAAAAGTTTGTTCCATATTTATTTCCTCTCAATATCTTATTCATTATTTTAACAACTCAAAAATCTTACCTGAACTATCGTCCTTTTCATCTTGATGTCCCTGCGGTCTTCTTCAGGTTCATAATCAAGCGTATTGACAACTTCCGTCTCCATGTCAAATACTGTTTCAGTGAGCTTTACTTCTCCAATCAGACCCTGAGTATTGTTTGAAATAATAAAACAATCAAATCTCTCTAAATTCAAACTCACATAACAATGTCAAGACGGTTAACCCTAACTCTGGCAAGTGGTTTCAACAGGAATGGCAGGGCCAGTCAGCCAAAACGTGCACATGCTTTACAAATCAAATTTATGGACTTGCATCAAATAAAAACCCTACAAAAGTATATATTTTCTGAAAGATAATTGAATGAACTTTTATATTTTGCCCTTGAACATATGATTTTATTTTATTTTCAAGGGGTTATGTAACTTTGAAATCCAAGATGGCTGACATAAAAAATTTACATGCTCATTAGCATATTCACCAATCTAATGTATTTCTTGTTATAAAAAATGTGAGATAGCAGAAATATGGGTTTTTCAATTACCTTTCAGAAAATGTATAGTTTTATAGGTTTGAGAAGAACAGGTAATGAGTTACGACTGTTTCAATTTGTCATGTGGTCTGTTTCGAGCGCAGCTGATACTCGCTAATTTTATACCAAACTCAACATAAAAACACTCTAAGTACAACCATGTGGTTTTCAGCAATCTGCTGGTAGTCTGTAATAATTAGTATAGCAAAAGGAACCTACTTTACTCTATAGCTCTCCTTTTTCTGCCCCTATTAGACTCCCAAAGTAGTAGAATCTAGAGTACCATTTGAAAGAGAAGTTGGGGCAGGATGAGAACTGGTAATGTATCCCCATTGTCTGTCAGATCTAATCCCAATCTTGAATGAACACCAATAAATCCACCACTAACAGTGTCTGAATTACTTTCCCTAGTCAATTCACTTTCAAATGTATCCAAAAAAGATCGATTTTTGGCCATTTTAGACCCACACAAGTGATAGATCTACACTGGCATTAGTGGCTTGTGACCTGATCAACAAGCTTTCAAAACATCCCTCTGTTTTGAAAGCAAAATACTCTTCTCCTAAGCCAGAATGGTAGAAATATTCTGATTGGTTGGAGGTTAGCCTTTTAGCCAATCAGAAATCACTTTAGGAAGCCCCAAATATTTAGTTGGAAGGCAGAAGCAGCAGTTTACTATATGGTCCTATGAGATCGGCCCTGCCAGTTTCATGGCAGGAAATGGGCCGATCTAATCGGCCCTTGCCAGAGTTAGGGTTAAATATTACAGGTTTGTGATCATTTTGACAGTCCTAACACTGGCATAACTTTTTTTCATTACAATACAAATTCAACAACTATCCTATTTATGAAAATGGATATACCTACAGCATCACCTTTATTGCAGTTGAAATACGGGAGTTTCAAAAAGCCAGTGCACATCAATACCTCCCATTAAAGGAAAACTTTCTGAACTAAAAAATAGCACCTCCAATAGCTCATGACCGACTTTCATGACAGTTACAAAAGCAGCTTCTCACTTCACAGGGTCATTCTCTTTCGCTCACTCCACAAATAGAAATTTTAATCTCAGTCATCACTTCTATACTAAAGGAGTGGCAAAGGCAACACTAGACCGAGCAGAAGAACAGACTTTAGGTACCCCATCTGCACATTCAAAGAATAAAATTAGTGAGAAAAGAGACTTGTGAGGCCAAGTTGATATGACAGAATTATAGTTACCCCATCTGTCTGTCCAAAGTGGGAAGCAAGTGAGAATAGGGACAAGTAAATTACTGTAAAAAGGTAGTTTCTTTAAGTTTGTGCAGCTACCTCGAATTTGTAACTTGAACAATGGTAACAAAGCAAACCTTGAGAGAATCAGAAGATATCTCCATGCTAGTGGTTCGCTTTGTGGTTTTTGCCGCTTTTGAAGTCTTGGATCCCCATTTTCTTTTCTTTACTCCCTTTTCCTTCTTTGACTTGTCCTCTTGCTCTGGTGTGTCTGTTCTCAGGAAAACGGAAAACATCACATTGTCACATTGAGATGCAGAAATGTGTTATGTCACAAAATGCACAAAACTGTCCTGTTTCAATTCTTTTTTAACTACATATTGAGAGCCTTTTTACAATCTGCCAATGAAAAGTTAAAGATGTGGAGGTACCAGTAACATAAATAATCAACTTTGCAAAGAACTATATCTTGGCGGAAAAACAAGTGCTCATTTTCACAAGCAATTTTACAAGCCTTTGTCAACAGCAACTATGCTTCCCCCGACCCACCCCCACCCCTTTCAAGAAATACGTATAAAAAGTATAAGCACTCTCAACTCCACCAATTTGCATAGAATTCTTAGGAAAAGGTATTCAAAATGTAACTGATCAGTATAACAGAGCTGAACATAAAAACTAATATATCCAAAGAAGCAGATGATTCATAATTTCATGAAAAGTCTAATATCAAACCACCTTGAGCCTGGTCTGTTTCTTTACCAGTCACAACTACACTGACTGCGTCATCTTCTTTGACATCAGAGGGTTTACTCTCAGCATCCTGATATTAACGTTTTTCAAAAGAAAAAAAAAAGTGTGAAAGAGTGCAATATCTTGAACATTCTAACAATTTGAAGAAAAAAAAAACAACTACGGTGCAACAAAAGTCTAGAAATGAGCTGTAACTCACTGGGGACCAAGCCAGAGATAATTTCAGGCCACAATAATGCTACTGGAGTCAAGAGGAAAACCCATGACAGCCCTTTCACCTTCGAAGGAAACTAAGACCATTTTAGCTTTTCAAAACACTTGAAGAAGACAGAAACTATCTTTTGAGACTGCAACAAATAAAGGAAGTACAATGAAACACACCCAATCAGAAAACAAGAATTCCTCAACCCTAGATTTTATCTCAAAATTTTGTTCCTATATGTTCTTTGTGTATTTATTTCTCACTAATCTTAAACAAAAATGTGGACAATTTCCACATTTCTCCTTCCAGGAAGGTGATCAAATAAGGCAATCAATACACCATTGATTCAGCTATGTACTTCTTTTAACCATAACTTTTTATAAACTATGCAGTTTAAAGTCTTGTATGATGAGATTCAATCAAAGCTTTTGACTACTCAAATGATACCATCTTCTTCAAAAACAATTTACACAAGAATTGTCAAAAACCTATTACTTCTATTACAACAATACAGTAACCAGAAGTCCAATTTTGAGAGTACAACTTTTTACAAGGCTGGTCCCTAATGAGTTAAGAAGACAATTCAGTCTAGCAAGTAAAGGGTAAGAGATTTTATAATGGCTACTTGATGTTTGTATTTTGAGAAAATATCAAAATCTTAGATCTAGACATTTTACAAAACAACATAGTTCTGAATAATAAAAAGAATAGAATAAAAATTCTGCCATGGAACGACACAATCCAGCACCTGAAACAAGGAAACAATTTGAAAAGATTAATAATAGAATACCACAAGCCAAAGCCCTTGATTTCTTCTGGTCTATTTCGGAGGTCCATCCTTTCTGGTCCACATGGATAATCAGTGCAGGCTGGGACAAAAACTTGGATAATCAGCAAAGATGTTCACCGACGTTCACAGGTAGTAAGGGACTCCTTGACAATGACAGCACCGCCGATGTTGTAAGTTGTTAAGGCACTAGAACTCGTGCTAGTGACTCGTGCATGGTGCTCATGGTGTTAGAAAGACACTTTTCACTGTGCAATCCAACAATGGTATGACTATTTGGCAGAGGTTCCAAGTCAATTCACGAAAATGATGGGCACTGCACATTTCAGAAATTGTCCATCTATTTGATCCAAGAAATATAAAAGTTTGTATCCATTGCACAAATGTTCTTTTCTTCACAAAACAGAGATTTCGTTTAACTTTCTGTCCTGGCACAACTGCAACCGATATAAGCGTCACTGAAGTATTGACCGCCCTTCAACGAAGCACTGACACTCAGTTCTATATGAAGACATGAAGCGAGATTAGAAGAAAAGTTCATCACTTGCAAAACTTTTCAGAGTGACACCATTGACCCGTCTTTGCAGAAACTGACACACGAGGGCAGCATGGGCCAAAACAACACAAGACGTCGTGAAGTATTGGGGCACGGCGGTGTCAGTAGCTATTTCAACAGCATGCGAAATGTTTCGGGGCAAAGGACAGTCCATGTCGAACGAGACCGATGAGCCATAGAGGCATATATGAGACTTGATATTCTTGACATGACATGAAGAAGACCAGCAGAAGATGTCGGGGATCCTTCATGAGGCTGACTGTGGGACGCCGTGGACCAAGGGCATGGCTACTTTGAAGTCATTTGGACGAGTTCAACGGGAGATGGTTGCAACCAACACCTCATCCTCCTGGCCCTAGCTATCAAGTTGAAGCAATGCAGTTTATGTCAGGCTACAATTAAATCAAGAAGACCTCTTGCAAAAACTTATCAATAACCATGTTTCTTTTTTATGTAATGAATTACACCAAGAATTTACCATAAAAAAAACTACATAAATGAACCTCTATCTTAAAATGAACTTGATTGAGAAGATAGAGGTAAAAAAAAAATTAACTAGTCTCACAAATTTAAGCTTTGACATTGAGTAGATGATGACAATTGCTTTTTCTTTTATAAACAAAGTAAAAACAAGCGAACATTAAAGAAATAGAAAAACAAACTCACATTTTTGGATGCCGTTTCAGTAGATTCAATATCTTTGTCATCAACACTGTAGAAACAGGAAGTATGGAAGGTATTAATCCATGAGTATTACCACTGTGTTGGGAAAACTAAAAACATAAATTCATCTAAAAAAAACATTTGCCACAGGGACCTAAAAGAAAACTGCAGTCAACAAACAGGTATCAGAATCTACAGCAGCATCTGCAACGCAATTAAAATTCATTCTTTTGTGGAAAAAACAGGCAACATTCACCTCTTCATTAACATTGAGATGAAGCAATAATTGTGTGAAGGCCAGATAAACTAACAGCCTATAAAATAAAAATGATGGAAGAGGAAGGGTACTCTTTAAATTATACTAATTGTATCTACTCTGATGTGAAACTGGATCAACCGAACCCACGGATAACTCCGACATGAAATCCAAATGTGCCCAATTTTTTCCATTGTCTATACTTTGTGTAGTTTTTAAATGAAAAGAAAAGAAGACAACAGCTCAAGAGATAAACTTGGCAGGAGAAGCATGCCGTATATAGTCATCTTCCACAGTATGAATAGCAGGTTAATAAGAAGGCATTAAAGAGAAGATAAAGTTGTGCGGGACACCATTGAGAAGAAACAATATTTTAATTGGAAGCATTATGTTCATATTATCTTTCTCCACAAAGTGATGTGTAAGAAAAAAAAAAGAAGTAAGGCACACATACAACAACTAAAGTTGGGTTACATTAGAAGGTATAAAACTACTACAAAGACAGAATCTATTCGACTTACCTTGCGCTTGGTTTTCCAGTATCCATGGTCACATCATCACCTGTTGTCACAGATGCAGACTCTCCACTTGCCTCTTGAGTATCAGCTTTCTTCGAGACGCTCTGTCACAGAAATAAAATGTTCTTTTCATAATTCAAAAACACAAAACAAAGCAGACTGAAAAGAAATGACATCAGTAGACCTATTTCCACCCCCCAAAAAAAGAAATACTGCCAAAACTTCATTATCAAACCATGGCATCAATTTTTTTTAAATTTAATTTTTTTAAAACAATACATGCCATAAGCCAATGCGAAAAAAATTCATAGCAGTAAAAAGGTGTCCATTCTGGAGCAGGAGACCAATCAGTTGCCCTACATTAAGCGAACCAGTCAGAGATACCATAGCCTAATTGAGAGGAAAAATCCCTCCCAAAAACCTCACACATGGGCAAAAAAAAGGCAAAAGAGCTACATCTCATATATATTCGAAGAAGCATTACTACAATTAAATATAAAGTGACTTCGGAATTATGATGCTTTCTAGGCCCTCCAATCAAACTCAACAAATGGTTACTTCCAATCGTTCTGGAGTCAAAACAACATTAAACTATGAAAACTGACTGGAACTGGTGTCTACAGAATTATTTTCCCACTTCTGGAAATCAAAAAGACCGCCCATTCTTATGGTATATAAAAAATCAGGGTTCGCTGTCTGTATTGTTAGGTTCAATTTGTGAACAGACCAAATCCACCCATTTTACTCTTCAATTCAGCACCAAATTTGTGTATTCGAAAACCACACAATGCTAATATAAGACAGTAACTGCGAAGGAATCTTTACTGAGAGATATCAAAGTTTTATCCAAAGCCAAAAAGAAAGACATGATATGCAAATTATAAGCCTTTAAATTTCAATAGTCTTTGACTTGCTCTCCTGTTGAATTTCAGGTGCCAAGACCTAAAGAGTTTGTTTCCTCCCTCAAACAAGTTCAGAAGCACAATCCTACCTACCACTACCATAGGATCAGAAAAAAAACTTTTAAAAGTTTTTGGAATACTAAAAATAACACAGCTAACCTTTTCCTCCACCGTTGCCATCACATCATCAGTGGCTGCAGGCTTTGATGATCCCTTAGGTGAAGAATCCCTTTTAACAACAGAGCTAGAGCTTGCTGTTTTATTTGCACCCGTGTCTGTGCTTGACCCTGATGAACTTGACCTTGACCGCGACCGTGAGACTGACCTCTTGCGCTGAGCAGAAGGGGATCTAGACTTTGAGCGTGAGGAATCAGACGACTGACTCCTCTTTGGTTTTGCTTCTGAAATATTGCTAGCTTTTTTAGAGCTGTCCTTTAAAGACTCTAATTCACCAGGTGAGTCTTTACTCGTTTCTACTTGCTTTTCTGCTGGTTCAGAGGCAGACTTCCCTTGTTCAACACCTGGAAAGTCTCCTTTCTTAGAACTGGAGTCACCAGCATCTGTCACTAAAGTCTGGCCTGACACTGGCTCCGAGTTTTTCTCAGAGGCTTCATCTTTTTCTTGACCACCTGTTTTCGATTTTGAGGATCTCCAGCGAGACAAACGACCCGCGGGTGCTTTCTCCTCGGACTTTGTCTGCACTGTTTCTTCCTCAGCAGCTGGTTTTAACACTGGCGGTGGTGTAGAACCACCAGGGTCTGTGTCATCGTCATCCTCTGCTGTTTGCTGCACCGTTCCCGACTTCTCTACTGCCTGACCAGCACCAGAGACAACAGTATCAATATTCTTTTCAGAAGTTTTACTCTCAGCCTCAGGCTCTGCATCTTTAACTGGACCTGCTTCAGCTACAGCAGTGGGACCCTTGCTACTATCCACATCATCGGTTTTATTGGGCAACCCATCCCCACCCCCATCATCAGGCACCTCTTCCATTGTGCTCTGATCAGAAGCAGATTTCTGAGCAGCACTAACTCTTCTGCTTGAGCGTCTTGTCGGAGCTTCTGGAGAAACCATCTGTGGAGATCTGGAGCGAGAGCGGGAGCTGATAGAGTTGGTGCTGCGCCTCTGCTTCTTTTTGGGCATCACCTCCCCCGGAGATGATGGGGGTGATGACGAAGGAGAGTCTTTTCTCGTCTGGTGGCCCCCGCGTTTCCCTGTGCTTTTCTTGGCCCTACCTCTTCTAGGCCGACCACGACGACCTCTTGTAGATTTTTCAGGAGACGGAGACCTGGAGCTGAAAAGAAAAAAATTCCAGATTGATAAAAGCTATGCCGTCGCAATAAAGGCAACCTTTGGCAACTGTCTTTACTAATAGTCATTAACCTATTATGATTCAAACTTGTCCTGCAAAAATAGAACTTTTTTTAAAACTCAATGAAAACCAAGAGCACCTACACAACTATGGTGAGGTTTCTATGGCTCTTTCAGCGCTATTACATCAGTTCTAAGTGACTAAAACATCTTCCCAATTTCCTTCTTTTAGCAAATCCCATTTCCCCCTCAATATAAATAAGCATGGCATATTCAAGCTAATACTGTGCTATGAAATTAGATGTAAAATATGCCCCACTGTATAATAAATGAATAAAAACCCAGTCTCAACCTTATTCATAAAGGGAAAAAATGCCCATGAGTACGATACTATTTAGAGTTTAGAGGGTCATGTATAGGGAAAACAAAGAATGGGAATGCCAATATTTGAAGCAGCTCCCAACACGCCACCCAAGGAAAAACACTTGAGCGGGACAACAAAAAAAATCTACAAACAAAAAAGAGGGGCCTGCTCTACAGTTAAAACACCTTCAACATAATCTGAAAACAAGAACAGTTAAGAGGAAGTAACTGTATATCACTACATAAATGAACTTGACTTTTAAAAATTTAAGTCAAGTGATTATGTGATTTCGTTTGAGTATTCCTCTATGAATGTCAGAGAATCATCCCTACACCCTATGGTTTGCATTTTCTAAACACTTAGAAATGAACTTTGACGGTGTACCAAACGTTGCTCATCAAGGACAAGATTTTCACAGTTCAACAGTATCACTTAATACCTACCACAGTTAAGGACCATAAGAATTCCCATTACTCTACACAGTATCCTTTGTCACATCAAAGAACTTACCACACAGTAAGGGCTGTGGCAATTTCAGAGGCAAACCAGGGTTGACTCCTTATCTTAGCTTTTTCAAAAAGTCACTGCGGTCACCTTTTTAATAGTTAAACATTTCCATTTGAGGAGCATGAACACCGTCCTTGATCCAAGTCTGGACCCATTCCACGAGTATGGTCACTAGAGACACTCTGGTGTCAACTGCATGCGAGTCGATGTTCCATTATAGTTATTAAAGTCGTTAATGTAGAGAAACTGATTTAATACATTTTCAGGTGGGATGACTATTTGCCAAACTGCATCCATTTCGCTAGGGTCAAATAATGCAGAAAAATGTTGATGGTCATGGACGGGATAAGGACAGGGCAAGACAACAAACAAAAATATTAAGAAGGAAAGGGAAAGGAAGTATGAACCCTCATTCATACCCAAAAAGCAATCGCTGAAAACGTGTGACCCGTATGTGTCCATGGTCATGGTATAAAGCCTTAAGATTTGCTAAAACTTTTAGGATACGTCAATAAGAGAAAAGAGCTACAGGGTGAGAGGACCAACACAATGTAGACACAAATCTTTTTACCCTGTGGCCAATGTATTAAGCAGAAAACTAAAATTTTCCCAACCTGGATACATTTTACATCTCCAACTTCATGCAATTTTATTTTTCTATTAAAACATGATTGCTGCATTTCCAAACTTCGCAAAATAGCTTGCTCTTGCCACATTGTGTTACAGAAATGTTGGAAATAAATTTGTATAATTTTGTGTAAAGATATGGGCAGTGGTTACCAAGTTTTCTTCCTAAGTGATGTTAGTACCATTTGACCTTATTTCCTCCATGCTGGAAGCTAATTAGAATCATGTTACTGTTAACAAAGGAATGCCACAACTTGATAAGTTTACAAGGCTTAAATGGTCTCTCAAAGAACAAAAAAAAATATTTTTTACAAAATCTCTAGATGTTACGACGAAGTCAAGGTGTGCATTTTAAAGCAGTGAGATCAATTCAAGGAGCAGCATTCACGAGTGGCCCTCTGTCCCTCAGTTATATACGGAACTACGAATCCGATTCTATTTATTACATCCCTGAAGTATGAAAACTTGAACAGTTTTAAGAAACAAAAATTCTGATGTCCCCAGGCAATAGGGTACCCATTTCAATAAACCATGTGTGAGTTATTCTGCAACCCTGTGAATGTTCACTTTATGCACATGCTTATTGTGTATCTATGATAATGTCACTTCTCATGGCATAGCATTTCATTCAGTGATGTGTCAAAAGCATCATTCATCAGATGAAAAGGAAAAGTTTTAACTGGTGTCCTAGAATAACGGACAAGACAATGGTTTGACTCAGTTTGAGATGTAATTATCATCTCAGGGAATAGTATAACTATAAGTCCTTGCAAACCTTAGGATTATGTAGACTTTTAAAAACTTTTCAAATTGAGAGCCCAATAAAGAATACAAATGATAAGGAAGTAACTGCAAAAACAAGATATATTTTGTTGTCTGGCTTCAAAATAGTATAGGTGGTGCTTGTACAGCTTGCCGGATCCACAAGATCAGGTCACGGTTGAAAAGCAGGCTGGCATGTGTAGATTTACCATTTACAGTAGAACACGGCTATAGCGGGACTTTTGGCTCCAGAAGAAAAATCCCGCGTTAGGCGAGTTCCCGCTATAGGAATGCAAAGGGAAATTACCGAAATTGTCATAAAAATCAACATGATCACCTCTCTTCCATATTATATATATCAAGACAATTTGCGCTTTAGATTAGACTTCCTTTTCTTGTCTACTTCGTTGATTATTCTTGGCCTTTAATTCGAGTGAGAAGCATTTCCTTTTGTCTTTGTTGGAAGCCATCTTTTCCTTGGTCTTGTTGCTGTGCTGTCTATCGTACCGGTAGGCCTACTGTAGAGCTGGTGAAGTGAATGCGTGTGTATGCCTGAGCATCAATGATCGCAATTCAATGAATCAGGAATCACTCACTACAGCTCTCCTCTTCTTTTACTTTTTTGGCCTTGCCTAAGCCTAGGACTATGGCATACGAGAGCGTCTAAGCCACAGCACATCACTTTTGGAGTGGCTCATGCAACGCGTCTCTCCGCACCATTTCTCTCTGCCGCCTGTCCCACCTCATTCATCACTGGACTGGCCAATCACATCGCCGCACCGCTGACTGCCTGTTTGGAGCCCGCCTACAGCCCCCCACTCCACCCGCAACCCCCTTCCTCCCAGCTAGAGCTCGCTCGATCTCTCCCGCTGTATCCGAGTTCGGGCCTTTCCGTGTCCAGCTAAACCCAAGCACAGGTAATTGAGAGTACACAGAAAAAAAAAAAACGGGGATTCCGGTAAGGTCCCGCTGTAGCGGGTGCCGCTATAGTCATGTTCTACTGTATAAACTTGCAAAAATGAATGTGAGCTCTATGGCCTCCATAGCAATGAATCTATTAAAAGTAAATAAGTATGTCTAAACACATAACAAATTATGCTTTTTTAAAGTACTCTTATTCATAGATTTTGACAACTGATGTGTAATATGTGATAATAGTTTAACTTACTGAGCCCTGGTCTCGAGCAGATGGGATATCGGCTGAGCCCTGATCACAAACATAAGACCGGATTGGGTTTTCCCCCTAAACATGATCTAATAAAGCAATATATTTCTTGTACGAAGCTTTAGTTAAATCATTTTCCAAACTGGAAATGAAGATTTCCAAAATATGGAACTAGTTTAGATGAAAAACTATTTTACTTTGGTAAACTATAGAGGCCCGAATAAGTCTTCACTTTTAGTTTTGGTGTTCTGTCCCACTCAGTGAGCAGAAATATCTTCTAAATTTGAAAATGGTGCAATAGTTTTAAAATTTGTGGGACAAAAAGTATTAAAGACAACTTAGTAATGTTAAAAGTATTATAAAGAAGAGACATGTATTATAAATTTATTATGAGAGTCGAAATGAAAACAATAGCTTAATTTTTACATTTCTGAGAATTTTTTGAAAAAGTGTGAAAATGGCCAGTACGGGTAGACCATTGAGATTGCAGACAGACTTAGGCTCAGTGAGTTAAAAGTATTATCAGAAAATGTTTATGTGGAGACCCCATTTGCACGACCCTCATGCAGCAGATCATACAGACTGCATAAATTTCCTTCTGAACACAGAGGCTGCAACATTTCCAAATCATATTTCAGAAGCCAAACAAAACAGTACGAAAACGTAGACTCTACTTCCAATGTCCTGTGTCAATACACAGTCAATGTCACCAAGATCACAAGCCGTATTAAAGACTGTAGTAAGTGATAAATGGGTTCACAGCGAAAGAATCAAAAGGATCAACAATAATAATAAGATCATAAGCACTTCAGAGAAAAATCAAACGCCTCCTAAATATGCTACTAAAAACACAGCGCACAAACTGAAAATACGAACATAAACCTTCAAATTTCAGACAGATAAGCCAAATACTCAAAACCTTCAAAATTCTGTCGCATGAACCCATTTTCACAACATTATTTTGTAAAATTAAGACAAAGGGAAAAACATGTTGAGGAAAAAATATTTATTTCTGATCTTTCTTCTCTTCACAATGGGCACTACATATGACCTGAATTAGTTCAAATATGTGATGTCTCCTACTAAGGCAAAATCTTACATCATATGCAAGAGGCAGGTTTGCCCTTCCAAAAAAAAAAGAAAAAATTACTTGATGCAACAAATAAATAAAACAAAAATTAATCGCAAGAAGTACTTTCTGTTAATGTGAGTTATAAATGTGTAGTTCTGTAACAAATCAATCAAAATCCATCAATAACATGACACAATTTGAAAAAAAAATTTGGAAAAGTTTGTCAGTTTTGTTTGTTTGTTTGTTTTTTTCAAAAGAAAACAAGTAAAGACAAGGATGATTGAGCTCCTCAAGTTTTCTTTTAACAATAAGAACATCAAAACAATTTGCTATGTAGATCAGTCCAAGCAATTCCACTGCTAATCACTGATTTAACATGAAAAATGGGGGGAAAAAACGGTTTTGAGTATTTGACTGTTCTATCTTTTTTTAACCACCCCCTACCTCAACAAAAAGAGGGAAAATGTCCAAGGAAATGTATTCAACCAAATAACCATGACACACTCAATATGAATTTACATGAACGTCATACACACTAGTGAAATTCACATGTTACAAACATTAAATGACTGATGAAATGTCAACATGATTATTAACAATGAAATTTTGCAGTATCGGCTTGCACACTGTGAACACACAAAAAATACCCGATGCCTGAAGAAAATGCCCAGATCGGTGCTCAAAAGACAACAAACGAAAAAACTGAAAACATCTTTCACTTGTTCAAAGTCTTTCTGACCAATAACTTTTCCCCCCCAATAGCAACAAGGAACTGTTACAGCTAATTCAAAATGATTATCCCTTGAAATATTTAAATTCCACACAAACAACCTCAAAAATTTCTACATTGAAAGTTAAGCTGAAGCTATCCATAATCAAAATGAGTAGTTCAGTGCCTGTGGTTTGGTAAAGCCTGAAACCACAAACAAAATTTCTTTCGTACCTAGTTCCAAATGAACGTTGCGACACCTTGGGTTACATTATTTATACAGGGAGATACATTTTGAAGAATAAAACAATAGCTGACCAAACTGTTGATAAGAATAAGTTTATAACCTTTTATGATTACATCCTCTGGACTTTGCTACAAGCATATACCATTTTCTAAGAGCAATTTTTAAGTCAAGTATAAACAAAAAAAAACAAAAGGTCAGTTTGCCATATTAAGCTATGAATTTGCATTTACCCACTGAAAAATTATGTGTACCATTAAGAAATTTCACATCAAGACGAACGTAGGGGATTTTATTTCTTACATGCTCTGCATCTAGCTTGTCACCAGACAGCAAAAATATGGAAAAGCTCAGACAGCCATATTGCTATACACCACATAGCTCGACACCAAGTGAAAAAAGAACAGCTCAAAACTAAAGAAATTACAAGGGTGCTCTTCTCTATATCGCCACAAAATTGCCCCTGAAAATAAAATGTGTTTCAACTCGCATCAGTAGTCCCCACAAATAGCTGACCCATCTCTTCCATTTGATGATGATAAAAAAGTCATCTTAAGGAAAACTAAATAAATTTAATCATAAATCGTTATTTTCTGAACCACCTACACTTTGAGTGGCCAGTGCACTGTATGAGCATGCTATCAACCCCAAATCTTCAATTGTTTCAACTGGTACAGATAGGTGTACCAAGCTGTCTTAAAAAGCAAAACGTCAAAAGGGACCAAATTACAATGAGAGGAACAGTACGCACAAACTTTTTAAAGTTTGTCTTCAATCACTACCTTAACAAAGGAGATGATGTTCAAAATACTAACCTAAGAAAACTGCACCCCAAAATCTCTGTGCAACTTCTCTTGAGATCACAGCTAAAAAAAACACCATCCCTCTAGAGAAGGGCAGTTTACTTTCTTCAAACATCTGGCAGGTCTTTACTCTCACCCTTGGTTCAGATCAGGTGGTAAAAAGAAGCGCAAGCTCAAAAAGGGCAAACATATAAAGGGATGATGATTTCATTTCTAATTCCAATGGCTTTGTTTTGCAGTCACCATCTAAAATGGCAGCTGAGTAAATCGAAACCAAGAAAAAGGGGGGTGTCATGAGGACAGATTCAAAGCAAAAAATAAAAGAAAGAACAAACTAACTTACTAAAAAGCTATAGAAATACAGATGAGATCTGAGTACCAAGGAGATTTGTCAAAAGGACAACTAAGGAACAAGCAATATTTCAAATCCTGAATTCTAGAAATGCATAAAAATAAGCCTCTTATCCCTCATATTCTTCCCCCAACCCTTTCTTACCTCAAAACAAAGATGACATTAACAACATAACCCAGTATGGGTAAGAAAAATAACAGCAACAAATTGTGCAACAACTTTACCCAGGAGAAAGACCAGTCTTTTAGTGCTTTTCTTACCTACAACCAAACCATTATCTCATACTGATCACTGAAAGCCTGTGACCGTAAAGTGACTACCAGAAGTGGCAATTTGAGTAGACGTGTGCATCAAAAGTATTTCTTGGTCAGACTACAATTGAGAAGTCTTGCCAACATAAAAGTATGGTCATGTGGAGATGGGTATCACTTACTGCTTCAAACAAAAATCAATTTCCTTAAAAATGTCATTAACTGCGCAAGTTAGAACTTCAAGCTAAGGGAACTAGGGCAAAGAATGAATTTCATGGCAGTGGGCAGTTCTCCCAATCCAAGCTTTTCCTACACAAAAATCTCCATCCTTAAAATACACAAATTCCATTTTTCCACATATGACCAAGTGAAACAGAACTGGAGCATTTCCCTTTTAAATCAAAAGGGGAAAATGCCAGAAGACTATACAGTCACATTGCAGTCTTATTCCACTGTCACAAAATCAAATTTAAAAAATATGTCTGCCATAGTTGAGATCCATTGCTTCTCAGTTAAGCTACATGAATACAACACAGGATGGACCTGGACCTAACTTCCATCACAAACATAAGTCCGTTTGACACGGGCGGTTCTTGGATTACGAAATATGAATAAATGAAAAAAAAGTACTGGCATGATAAAAATTGCTCACAACTACATAACAATGACATCATTTTCAAATCACTTACATACTCAAAACAACAGTATGCACAAAAATATGTCTTGCAACGGTTTTAAGATTTGGGAAACGTGTCTATTGCACACAACCAGAATAACTTTGATCTGTTTTGGTTTTTTATATCAATTTTGGCAATATGTTCAAAGAAATGCACCCTACATATGATGGTCCACAAACAGATCACAAAAAAAAAGAACTTTACAACAGAACTAAAACAAAAAAGTTTAACTCCTGTAGACCAACCATGAAAAAGTTCCTCCCTTCAAAAGAAAAAAAAAAATTTTAATTTCATACTCTCATGACACTACTTTAACTAACATCATCCCAAAGACATGAGAGAAAGAATAAATTTCTTTTAAAGGCATGTCGTCCTCTCAGACCAATCACAAGTAACAATTACAGTCAGTTGAGTCAGCTGGTTTGTAAAACCTAGCTCACCTGTATGCCCATGTATGAAAACGCACACATACAAAGCCCAATCACTCATAAACTTTTAAGTTTGAACCTATAAAATTACTTATCATATCAATAAAAAGTAAAAGCAGCACTGTGATAAACATGACCAGCAAGAAAATGTACCGAAGGAGAAAGTTTCAATCTTTTTTCAAAAACAGTGAAGCAGATAGAAAAACAATCCTTTTAACCTCTAATTCACTTTTTGGGGTTTCCCAAAATAAACCACCTCTTTTATATACTTGAAATAAACCCCACACTTATCTGAAGACCATATTTAACAAAAATGCATCCTCAGCTCATCTTACAGTGGGCATGATGCTATGTTTTACACACAACTGTTAACCTACAGAAAAAAATATGCCTTTCAAAGAAAATTCCAAAAATGCTATCACAACTTTTTAAACACTACCATACACTTTTCAGGCCCCTTAACACTTTGCCTTCACATTAAATGTGATGAGAGATTTCATGGAAGGTATAAATGTGCATTTTATTTTCATAACAATACATCTCTTTGCGTGAAACAGAAAACATTAAATATTTACAATAACATGTCTCAGAAAGATCACTGGTAATCAAAACAGTGGAGAAAGTTGTGAACAGTGAAGGCAAAGATTTAAGTGACTTATGCATTCTTGCAAACAAAAATCAAAGGTGGTACGAGTACATCACCACTGCCCTCACACGAATAACTTTAATAACAATTTCAAAACATACATGATGAAAGTGGATTAAATGTACATTGACAAATGAGAGCTTTCAGATCCGAAGAAGCGAAATATGCATGTATGTAAAGAAATGATGAACAGAACTATTTAACAAATCATTCAACTTGAGTTACCTTGAAGATGAGCCTGACCGTGTTCTTTCCCTAATTCTATCACCCTCGGGTGTTGGAGATCTTGACTGATTTTTAGTAACTGCATCCCCTTCTTGGCCATTTTCATCTGTTTCAAAGAAAAGAATAAAAAGACCAAAAAATGTTAAGCAAGAAAAAAATAATAATCAACATAAAAAACAAAAAAAAACAGCAAGCAAAAACAGTGAACCACCTGACCAGTTCACCTCGCATTATAATCATGTATAACTATCTAGACCTAAGGGCACATACTTATTAAGTTATCATTGCTCAAGTTTAAAACTCGGTTATAAGCCAGTTTTCAAAATGGTGTATGGCTGAGCCTTACACTAAGAGGTCGACATAACCATCACGACCTCAGTGCTTTCTTGTTGTATCTCCATTTTTAATAACAGTGAAAACTGTTCATAAAAAAAAAAATTAGCTAAAAGAAGTCACATTATCACTCTTTAACTCTTTACCTCGGGCAAGCCGCCAGGACCCCTGTGCCTGTGTCTCAGGCGCATTCCGTTACAACCTCAACATTAAATTACTTTTCGGCAATTGCCTTAAACAGGTTTCTTTTATCGGGATTTGAATCATTATGACGAACTATCAAAATAGGTTCACTTGTTTTGATTTAATTACCCATTTAGTGACTTTTTTTTTTTATTGTTAGATTTAGTACCAAAGAAGGGGCCCGGCATAGCGGGTTAACCTCCCAAGGAAATAGAGTTTAAAAAATGGAGATACGGCAAGAAAGCACTGAGATCATGATATGATGATCCACTCAGAGCTAGTTGGTGTTCAAGAAGTTCTTTAAAAAATTTATGCAATTTACAAACACAAAGTAACACAGAACATAGGCATACCCACAAATTTGCACCAATCTGTAGCCACTTCCTTTATTATCAGTGTGCTTATGTGAAAGGGAGTGTATAGAGACCCAGTAACCGGGGACAAAGTCACGAAGTATACAGACCCAGTAGGGGAAGTCTTTTGTGACTCGAAGAGGCTAACCGTACTTAATGACGGCTAAGTACGGCTAGACTGGTTGGCTAGCCGTACTTATTCTTAATATGATGGCTAGACTGACCATTTTAAAAAATCGGCCTACTGAATTGTAAATATAAATTTTTAGTTTGCAGTACCTAAAGTATTTGTATTTGAGACGAAACCAGGTGCCTTAATGACAGTGCATGTATTTTAAACCTCCTGCCTTCTAATTTTAATAGGGTCTAAGATAAGTACGGGTACGGCTAGACTGGCAGTCTAGCCGTACTTAAGTTACAGCTAGACTTCTTCGCTAGCCGTACTTAAGTACGGGTACACAGCTAGGCTAGCCATACTTAAGGACGGCTAGACTGTCAAGCTAGACGTACTTATTATTGATGGCTGAATTGTAAATGAAATTTTTAGTTTGCAATGCCCAAAGTATTTGTATTTCAGAAAAAAACAAAATGTGCCTTACTGACTTGCATGTATTTGAACCTGAACAATTACTAGATCTAGATCTAATGAGACCTGTGTACTTAACAGCTTTTTGTTTTTGTTTTTGTAAAGTGTTTTACGGCGCTCGCAACTGCATAGGTCATATGAGCGCACAGGACACACCTAATATTTTCAGTTGGTAGGAAATTTTGAATTTTGCCCGGGTGGCGGCCGAAGCCTACTCTTATCGATTTTAGACCACCAAGGGATCTTTAACGTGCGCAACTTGCACACGGGCCCTACGTACGCAACTTGCACACGGGCCCTCCGAGATTTTTCGCCCTTGTCCGAGAAGGCTAGGTGTAGTTCTTTCCTACCAGAAGATCAGGGGTGTGGCAGAAAGACAGCAGTAAGGAGGAGCCAAGGAGTAGCAGTAGAAAGGTTGCAGAAAGAGCCAGGAGCCCAGAGGAGGGGGCAAAGGAGGTGAGGGGGTGGGGACAGAAAGTGGAAATGAAAGCAGACAACAGAACATTGCTAGAGAGCAGGAAAGGAGATGAAAGGAGACAATTTTAGAGAAGAAAATTTTTTGGTCGCTACACGGATTCGAACCCGGGACCTTTGAATGAGAGGCCAACACCTTAACCTCTAGGCCACGAGAGCCCCCTTTAACAGCTTTGAGTCGATAGGGCCAAACCTAGATCTAAGTACGGCTAGCCACTTCGTTTGTGATTTCTGAAAGTTTCAGTTCTTCTATATCTATGGCCTAGTTCTAGATTGAGACAGACACATAAATCATAGAGATCTAGATCTAGTTAGGAGGCCTAGATCTAAATGAAAAAGAGAATGTCATAATTTTAATTGAGCAGTCTCTCTCTCTCTCTCACACATACACATAAACTCTACCGGATCTGGACGTTGAAACTTTTCCCTGCCGGATCTGTATACTCAAGACTTTGTTCCCAGTTACGGGGTGTGTATACACTTCATATGTGACAATATAAGCAAAGTGCTTTAGTCAATTAGCTGATTGGGCGAGAGCACGGGCCGGATTGAGTTAAAATTGCTGCAATTTTGTAGTTTCGTTTGTTAAAAGTCAAAAGTAAGGGGGTTTAAGCCCCCCCCACCCCCCGACCTAATAAAGATATGGCAAGTGCTATTTGCAACACTGCGTTCTGAATAGCTCCCGTGCTATTTGAAACGCCAGTACTAGATCTAGAATCTAGATCTAGATGTAGTAGCCATCGTTTCTATATGATAATATTGTAGTTCTGCCTAAACTGTGGACGCTTTCTCAGTTTTTTTATAAACCTCCTTGGATTTGACTCCTTTTTTTATGACGTCTTATACCGATCAATATTGGGTAGATCTAGATCTAGAACCTAGATTAGATCAAACAATTGTTTCTGACATTGTTTGCACAAAAGTAGACGTCTTGTTCATCTCTCATAATCATAATCATCTGAGTTAGAGTTTGAGCAAGTTTAAGTCGAAAGACGCTTGGATAACAATAAGGAAGTGGCTATTCTCACCTGCCCGGAAGTTCTCGCAAGATCTACTCCTCCCCTCTTCTCTCTCTCTCTGTCTCTTTCTGAATAATGTCTATCGGTGTGGACGATCAAATTGACCAAAACAAAGTTTTAAAATGATGTTAAAACACAAAAGTAAATTAATTTGGTTGTCTACAAAGATGCTATGGCTATTTAACTTTTCGAATCGAGCCGAACTACGCGGGTCGCCATTTTGTTTTGCCCGGAAGTTCTCGCGCTACTCCTCTCTCTCTCTCTCCACTACCCACAGACAAAATTGTACGCTTTTAGTAGGCTACAGTTGTAATGGAACGTTTGTTCACGGCACAGAATTCTACAATTTTTCTGTTATCACAGTGTAGAATTCTGTGGTTTAGGGTGAACGCAAAATTTGTTGGCCTAGATCTAGGCTATAACGGTGAACGTGCACTGGGTGAGAATAGCCAAAAGACTCGCCTGCACTATTCTCACCCCGGGTGAGAATAGAGGTGGCCTAACAATAACGAGACGTTGCAACTCAAACTTTAAGTTAGGTCTAGAGAACGTATACAAGCTGTCTACTGTCTACGTTCTCTAAGTCTAATGTTCAGTGCTTCCAAGCGTGGCATCGAATCCTGGTCCAGAGGTTGTTTTTTTTCCTTCTCCTGAGCCTAAAATTTTTTTTTTTGAAATTAGACTCACAGACCAAGGAAAGCCACTACTGAACTTTAACCAGGCCTAAATTGGTAAAGTATAGGCTATGGCTATACTAAGGCCTACTTTGTACAGAGCTCCTCTTGGGGACAAAACCAGAATGTGCATGCTTCATCACTACATAAAAAAACTACAAAGCAACAAGATATAATTATGGGAACAATTTGTTGGTCAGTCGAGAAGAGGACAACAACAACAACAAAAACAAGGGGAAAAAAACGTCCATGACCGGGATCGAACCCACGCTAAAAAAATAATGGCTTGACTTCAAGCGCAGACGCGCTGTCACTTCGGCCATCAGAACTTCCGATAGCGAAGTGCAGATTAAACTTGATATTTTACACACAGCGACACGGCGTTTTATTTAGCACTGGCGCTAATCGCAAAGCCGCGTTTTATTTAGCACTGGTACTAATCGCAATGTAGCAATGCCAATCGGGCTTTCCCGCGAGGCGAAAATTTGGTCCCCGTTTACGGGCGATTTTGCGGACCCGGCCGAAGCGTAGGTGACTAACTTTGTCAACCTCGGTCTGCTCTATTTCCGAACCAATCCGAATGAAACTCGGCAACCAATCAGAAAATAGGGCAAACTAATGATATGTGAACGAAGTTCGTACACATAAATTAACCTATACTTTTGGTGTCGGGAACATTTTCGTATCGTGGTGAACACCGAAAACTATAAGGAGTTCGAATTTCAACGCCGAGATGGTAATAGATCTATCTATCCTCTATAGTGGGCTCAAATTTGAACGTTCTGTGTCAAGTAGTTGTTTAGACCCGATCATAAATGCACGACTACCCCCCTATCCAAAGCGGCTTCGCACGGAGACCGGCCATTTTCCCCTCACTCTCGTGGCAAATGTATGTGACCTACAAATCCTCGCATGACTATTCCGGGCCCGTTCATTGGTCACTTGAAATAGGGCAATGGCGGGCGCGCGCATCCGGTTGTTTTTCTCTCTATTCCCCTGTAACATCGCAAGGGGGGTATTCCGAGGCGAGGGGAAAAAGAATTTTTAATTGTACGGCATGCTAGATTGAATTAACTTATCTTTTACGGTTGGCATGGTCTAAAGTCATCATAAAAAGCTTTGCAATTATTTAGTCACGCTGCCGACATATATTCTTAAAGATCCCATGTTGTGATACGATGCTATAAATAAAATGGACTCATCCCGACACCCCTTTTTCGCAAAATCGTAATATGTACACCACAATTTTAATTATAACAAAATAACTACGAAATTGGTAGTAAATCTGACTGCAGAAATGATTTCTACACTCAAAAACACATCGGGTAGCAAAGTTTCTCTCGAACACTCCGATTAGTTACCGAGATATCGTCGATTTTCTTACAGAATCTGCCACTGCGTGGTCCACTTTTTAGGAGTATTTTCCTATATGTGGGTCATCCATATTTTGCCGACCTTTACAACCCCATAACTTTTTTATTTGTGAACCGATTCTCAAAATTCAAGAAGCATAATTCTTAGAACTGAAAATTCTTTCTTAGGTACCAAAAAAAAAGGGGGCAAAATTGAAAATTTAAATTTTCATTGGGCGGCGTTGCAAATAGGCACTTCCTAAAAATATGGAGGTGCGGGGTTCGGGGGGGGGGGGGCATGCCCCCCTGAATTAATTTGATGTTTTTCAGTTAGGTTGCATCCCTGCTCTTTGTGTGGCCTATGTCAAATAGTATTTGGTCATCAAGACTTCTGGATTTCGGTGATCTTATACTTTAGCAGCACGTTAAATTCTTCAATTGAGGACTTCCGAAATGAGCGACCACTATTAGAACTGGATCTAAATTCTATAGTCACCAAGATTATACTCAATGGCTTCCAAAATCCTGATGGAAGACCGAAAACCACTGTTATACGATCTGTTCATGACAAAATTACAGTAGTTTGCGCATTTTTAGGCCCAGTTCAAAGTTTTGAAGGTCTGAGTCGGGGATTAGATCTAGATCTAGATTTAGCAGTTTGGGAATTTAACATGCTAAAGTATAAGATCACCTGGATTTCTTCTCTGGATGTAAACAAATGGATCGTGGACTTAAACGAATGGAACTACAAGTACAAGATCACCAAAATTGCTTCTGTAGCCTAGATCTAGATTTCTACCCCCAAAACATGAAAAATTGATTGAGTTGAAATTGCTTCTGCTATTTGAATTTCATATTGAACTCCTACAGTGTTTCGAGATCACTGTGAATGATGCTGGTATGTGTAATAACAAAGAAATATTAAATAAATGCCATCTACTAGATTCTAGATTCTACCCTCTTCTGACTTCAATTATCGAAAATATGGCGACGAACCTCTAAACACAAAGATCACAAGAGAAATGACAGAAGACGGTTCAAATGAAAGCAATGGTAATTAGTGTTGGAATTCAGAAACAATTCACTTAATATCTTGAAAACGTAATGGAAGTATTAAATACTTACTTAGGCCTTTAGAAGCGTTGCGACTGCTTTTTCGTGCCGGCCTCGGCATTTTAGGTACTTCTTTCGCAGGTGCGTTGCTAGAATCGTCCTTGAACTTCTTCGGAGACGTCACATCCGGGGCAGCTGACGCTTTGCCTTCGTCTTTCGTTACATTCGCTTCGTCCGCTGACGATTCGTCGGCGGACTTTCGTTTTCTCTCCTCTGAAAATAATTTAGATTAAATAAGACTGATGTATCTTCATCTTTCTAACTACAACAAAATGACACAACTACCAATAATAATAAATCAATACAAAATATAAACTAAAAAACGTTACAAACCCTAAGATACCAAAGCTAACGACATTAAGTACATTATTTTCAGGACTGGGGCCGAAATATCCAGCCACAAGAGAAGTCATTTAATAATAACACACAAGCATGAAATGTGAGTGGGTGTGTGTAATGTTAAAGCATGTTTGTGCAGACACTCGGTCAATATTATTAATATTATTTATTATAGTTTTAATAGAGGTTTTACGGCGCTCGCAACTGCATAAGGTCAAATGAGCGCCAGAAGATTAGAGGTGTTAGGCCAACAAGAGAGTAACAAACATAAAAAAGACTAGCTGGGCCCCCTTTCGATGAAAGAGATGATCGGTGCTTTAATATAAAATAAAAGTTATTGGTCTACTATATTTACACTCTACTGGAATGGGGAAATAAATCTTCAGAGATGCAAAACATTAGAAGGTCTACATCTATACTCTCAAAACAAAATGCGCCTCGCCGCAAAATATCACTTCCGGATTTTTTTAACATTACAGAGACAGAACGTCGGCCTACAAAAGCGATCGGCGAAATAAAGAAATGTTTTTTGCAGCAAAACTGTCTCAAAACTGAAAAAAAACGAAAGGTGTCATGATCTGGAGAATATTTTAAAGAATCTTTTGGCGAAAACCGCATGTCAATCGATGCAGCCATTAAAAAGCCTTTTGAATAGCAAAATTCGGCCAGCACAAATAGATAATAGAAGAACGGAAGAAAAGGACGATAGATATTTGACAGTAAAGAAGAAGTATAGATCTACCACACCAGAGCACCCGCGAACCACCCACATTATTATTATTACATTTTCTGGGAAAACTAGACCCTACAATTGTAACCTAATCAGATAATCAGATAGAATTCGTTTGTGCTCTTCTACATTATTATTATTAGGGGTGGGCACGTTCGTAACTAGACCCCCACCCAATCCCGCCCGGGGATATCCCCCCCCCCCCCCCCCCCGCTTCGCCCGCCATAGGATTATCACTTATTCAAAAAATAAAATTGCACTACTTGGCAAACAAAAGATCAATAATCTCAACAACATTTTTTCAAACAAAACGAATATTATTTATTATCTTTTTAGTTAGTTTTAGTAGAGGTTTTACGGCACTCGCAACAGCATAAGGTCATATGAGCGCCAGAAGATACGAGGTGTTACAAGAGAGTAACAAACATAAAAAAGAATGAGGGGATTATGATAAGGACGATAGATGTTTGATAGGAAAGAAGAAGTATCTTGTTTTTGTTTTTACTTTAGCTTATTTATTCTCCGCACAATCTCCCCTGCTCAAAAACTCATATCAACTGCCTTCTATGTTCGAGTTTAACGAATTCGGGAACAATGGGAATGGGAAAACCTATTGATTATTTTAAGGCAGCATTGAGTGTAACAAGACAAAACATGTACTTATTTCAAACTTCGAAATTTAGTACACTATTATAATATCACCAAGAAATGTATGGCTTGACGCTATAAGCAGGGAATTGATAGAAAGCACAAAGTATAAGAAGAGACAAATTCTCTGGGGAAAAAAGAACATACAACATATACTCATATACATAAAATCAATACAAAGTCAAAAGAAAACAAACTAAAACAATAATGTGCTCTAGTATGTTATGGTATGGTATGGTAAAATGGTATGGTATGGCATGGCATCAAAAATATCTTTAAGTTGGAGAGAGAGCACACAAAAGAAGAGGCAGGTCAAGGTCCATTTCCAAACAGCTGAACCGAAGCCCCAAACAACCCAAATTAGGGAAAGCCCCATTTGAGATTCAAACTACAACTACCCCACTGCAGCCCTGTACGTTACAAAAAAACAGTGTTGTTTGTTTGAGTAGGTGTTTTACGGCACGACCGGCTCAATTTTGTTCGTTAAAAAAACAACAACTGAACTAATGTGGCAACGAAGATGGAGTAAGAAAGAAAATTGGGACAGACAGTACAGATTGCAAAAACAATAGTTCTCTGTTAAGAGTACATGCAGAGAATACAGCCAACCTTTCTACTAAATATACACAACATTCAAAGAATCTAAAACTAAAACACAGGTCAAGCTGCTGTTTTGTTTTAGTAAGTGTTTTATGGCACATGCAACACAAGAAGGTCGTATAAGTGCTGAAGATTAAAGGTGTTACAAAACAGTAACAAACACAAAATAGAAGGAGGAGAGATAAGGACGATAGAAGCAAACCACACCAGAGCACCCGCCAACCAACCACTGGTCAAGTTGCTACAAATCCGGAAAAAACAGATATTTTCTATCATGTAGACTTTCTTGGTACAAATTGCAGTGCGCACTATTACTACATGTCGGCACAAGAAAGAGAAAGATTGTAAAGAGCTAATTACAAGTAAAAAAGCCAAATCTTTCCGCTCCCGGTCATAATCAGTCGTAAGACGCACTGTGCTGTTAGACACTACGAGGCTCGAAAGGCTAAAAAGCGACTTTCCTTGAAATTTTTGTTTTCTGGATCTATTAAAAGTTTAATGTCTTCTGCTTCATTTAAAGTTAAAAATAAACAACTACAGTCGACTACAAATATTTTATTTTAATTTATTTCGATTTTAATTTATTTCGAAGGGGTGCAAGTGGTTGGTTGTGAGCTCGGGTGACAAGATAAATGAATTTGGACCTCAAATCCTTTCGGAATATTTGATCTGCTGGTGTGTAGCTGTGAGATTATTTATAGAACCATTACCTCATGGCCACATTGCTTAAACGTTCTTTATTCGCCCCTATTTTTAGATTTAGACTCATTTTTAAGCATGAATGGCCTGAAATATAAACAATTTAGCGTCACGTTGAACGCTGAGGACGGGGTAAGAACCGTACCTCCTAGCCCACTTCCAGCTTGTTTATGAAAACAGCTGACTGCGTAAGCGTGCCCTGCTAGCTCAGTTTTGGGCTGTTGATCTTTCAGTTTTACACTTCGATTGATTTTTAAATCCGTTTTTATTGTGTTCTAGTGTCGTATTTTTTTTAAAGATTGGTCCTCCTCTAGATCTCCCAAGGCGAACTCCTTACTAAGAGGCCACAGAGGCCGTCTATTTGTGCGTGTGTGTGTGTATGTTTTCGTATTAGTGTGTGTGTGTGTGAGTGTGTGTGCGTGTGTGTGTATTTGTGTGAGCATGTGTGTGTGTGTGTGTGTATGTGTGTATGCGCCCATGTGTTTATAGTGCTATTGCAAACGTATAAATTGGTACCGTAAACACAGCACGTAAGCCGACTCACTGCCTTCCGAGCGCGGAGTTTCAGTGAAGTCTAGTAGGTATTTCAGATCGCTTTTTCTAAGCTCTTTTGCTATAACACACCAAATTTTAACGCTGAACACCTTGAAAATGTGAGCTTTTTTTCATCACAACAGCGTAATTTGTTTGTTTTTACGAGTATTTGGAGCTAGAAAATCGGCGTGGAAAGTGAAGCCCGTCGTGGTCGGAATGCGAGATCTGCCGGATCCAAAATTGACACCGATGCATTCGAATCTATGAAGAAAGAGTGATGGTTAAATGCCATCTTTTCATCGGCAAACAACTTCTTTAGAGTTTTGAAGGGGGCTTCCGGTGGTATATTTTTGGCCTTTGGCGTTAAAATAGACAGCCTGTATAAAAGCGAACAAGTTTGTTTTAGTAGAGGTATTTTTATTTTATTTTTTATTTATAGTAGAGGGTTTTACGGCACTCGCAACCGCATAAGGTCATTTGAGCGCCAAGGGGTGGATGTCAACAGAGAAGTCTTTACAGGGAATCAGACTGCTCACCTCTCTAGCTTCAACAGCACAAGGTCTGCTTCGACTATCAAGGCACCCCGAAATAGCAGGTCACAAGAGAGTGACAAACATACAAAAGAAGTAGAGGAAAATGACAATAGTAAGGATCAAGAAAGAAAAGGCAGCAGTTCCCCGTTGTACATCAGGCACAGTTATGAGCGTGACATGAATCAGCCCATTTACAATTCTACTGTGCTTGAACGAGAAATGTCCCCCCTTTGGGAATGGCCTAAAGACACTACAGTCAGTGGCACTGCCGGGGGGGGGTTAACGGCACTCACAACTGCATAAAGGTCACATGAGCGCTAGGAGATTAGAGGTGTTACAAGAGAGTAACAAACATAAAACATAAAAAAATAAGAAGGGGAGAAAAGAACGATAGATGTTTGATAGGAAAGAAGAAGCAAACCACTCCAGAGCACCCGCCAAGTTTTCAAAGATCATTTTTAACATGAATTATGTAAAATAACGACTCAAAAAAAGGAACCAATGGAAAGAACAGTTCTTTTTCTATAAGAATAAAGTCATCGGCTTGGAATTATTTTGCATCAATCCTTTCACGAAACTCCGGGGAGCACTCAGTATACAAGTAGGCCTACTACAATTAGAGCTGACTCAATCGCCGCGGGGACTGGTGCCGCGCTCAGTGGGGTTTTTTTTTTCAAAAATAACGACAGATCATCGTGTTTGAGGCAATAAAATACTGATTTGTAATGAACGAAGACTTGAAAAAAAATTAGGCTCCATTTCTATGTTATAGTGACTGTAGCCTACCATGTTAATGTGGAGATGTTTGGTGCACTTGGTGCTCTTTTACTGTCTGTCAAACATTGGGTTGCAACCAGTTAGCGAATTTAGCATTATTCCATTATACATTAAATTAAAACAGCTGCCATTTTCTTAAAAATTGACTGAGAGGTAAAAGTATGGTACCAAAATTCACATGAGACAGTCCTTTCATATCGCCTGGCTCATCCTGTACGGACAAACACTTTCCACTATTCCCTACTCTGGGCTAACTCTTCATTTTTTTCAAATGTCTTTCCACTTTTCAGTTCATCATTCTCGGCGACTTTTCAACAGATTCCGCATGGCCTTCCCTTGATCGTTTAACCTGTGAACTCCACGTTCTTAGTTATGTAGCTGCCTGATTTCCCCATCTCCACTTCTTTCTTCTGTCTGAAGATTGTCTGCTTAATACTTCCTCATTGGTGACTCTCACCTCTGTCCATCTGATCCTGAGGAACTTCCTCAGGCACTTGTTGATGACAACCTGGATCCCCCAGCACTTCGTAAAGAGTGCTTTAGAATAGCCCAACCCAGCGGCATCACCAAACAGTCCACAAGGGGCATGCAAGCCAAGGAGTCTCTGTTCACATCTGTGGATATGCTACCGAAGGTTCCCTCTCACTATTGCCAGCAAAGCTCTGGAAAACTGTAACTTCATCCCTGATTCTGTAATCTGTCAGAGCTTCATTGGTTTAACAAAAAAGCCTGCACAGGTCAGGGACAATCTGCCTTGTGTGTCAGACTATTCAAATATGTGCTAGATGAAAAGAAAAGGTCGATCTATGAGCCAAAATTAGATCATTGTGAATTGTGCGTGAGTTTTGAGTTTTGACAATGTCAGCCACACTAAGTGAGAATCTCAATGTCAGAAAAGAAAATACAGTCGAACCGGTATAAAAGACGGCCACCCATTGTCAGTCAAGGAGAAAAGTGGCCCTAAAAGACAGGTGGCCGTCTTAGGCAGGATTGATCAAGATGAAGAAAAACCATTCTTTTCTGAGGTCCCAACCGAAGGCAGCTGCATGTTTGTTGTTGTTGTCGTTGTTGTTGTTTTCTCTGGGGGGGGGGGGGGGGGTTTAATTCTTTTTTTGTTGTTGTTGTTGCTGTTTTTGTGCAAGGGTGACAATAAAACGAAATATGTCAGACTAGGAGGATCGAGTGCTATGGTAAAACAAACACATGGGTTGCCACCACTCGGAGAATGAGGGACGCTTCTGTCACAAGTCCATTGTTACTTTGTTACAGACTGGGTAAACAGTGACCACTCCTCCCACTTAATTTGTGTATGAGAGTTCTGGGTGGGGCTTATGGGTTATGAGGGATCGCACGCTTACCTCACCAGCAGCTGAAAATGTGTGACCTATTGGTCAACAGTGGGAGGGGACAACGCAACATGATCGGTTGGAGGGACTACCTAACAACAACGACAGGTGATTGAATTATGACGCTCGTCCCCAACGCCAGGGGCCAATACATGATTTATGACAAAACGTAATTGAGTCACTAAGGTGGCCGTCTAAGACAGGAGTTCTTGTTTGGTGTGACATGGGTTGTGTGTTAAAATAAGGTGACAGTGGCAGCGTTGGACAGGTGCCCGTTTTTCACAGTTAAATTATATAGAAAAAATGCAAGGGGGTAAATGGAAAGTGGCCGTTTGTACAGGTGGCCATCATGGCAGGTTCAAGTGTAACAAAGAAAGGGCATGCCATGGATTAAAACCTTTGCTCTTAGGCAAGAAAACCTTGTGATGATTTGCATGAATCTTCAGGGTGTACTTTTGGCACTGCCTATCAATTCCCCCAGCTCTTGTTTCAAAAGCAGGCACATAATCTTCAATGTGACCCCTATGGTGTCATCTATTACTTATGACACAAGGCACAAGGTGGTATATCAACGAAGACCCTATAAAGTGAAATTAGTGGATTACATTTTCCTCCATGATTTTGCAAAAAATTGCAGTTCACAAAACTGTCAGGTCGGGTAGACAAAAAGAAGACCAAACTGTTAATGCAATATGAAGCCTCTGATACATAAGGAGAAATTCTTTGCAAACTGAACTCTAACGAAGAGTGGAAGACTCTTCTAAAGTCCAGAGACAAGGAAAACTTAACAAACAGTTCCCCACCACAGTATCATTCTCTTTTAAAAATTGCAAAGAATAATTTTCCGGATCTGAGAGACAAAAAGAGTAAGATAATTAAAGATGATCATTCAGTCATTCACAGGGTAAAGAAGTTTGATACAAATCTAGTTCTCAACACATCAACACACCCCCCTCCCCTCCCCCCAGCCCAATAAAAAATGACATACACTTACACACAATTGGAGAAAGAAGGATAGAAATAGAGAGAGCACCCAAATGAAGGAGTATGATTTCATAAATTACATACAATATCCCATTCATGTAAGAATGATAGATGTTTATGGTGGTAAAATAATTAATAGCTTTCCGTTTCACTCAGTTTATAATTTCATTCTCAGTTTTAAATTGGTCTTTTAAAATCTTTTGTTTAACAGTATTTCATGCTTTCATATACTTTTTAAACATACCAGGGCCTCTAATAAAAGAAAACACACTGCCTAATAACCATGAATACAACACTGCCTTTCATAAAGCCTACTGATGAAATCATGAATTTAACACCTATGTAGAATTCACGACCGCATCAGGCGAGATTCGAATACGAAAATCATGAATCCCACACTTTTTCGATAAAATAACCATCTCTCTCTCCTGTAAAATTGCTTTGTGTGGAATTCACCATTTCATCAGACGACCGACGATATATTAACACTGTCATGGAACTCAAGTCAAAATCACATGACGTGTGATTAGTAATCGATATTACCACTCTCTTAGAGTTAGAGCACAGAAAAAGCATTTGGAGTACTCCATAAGACAGCAAACCAGAAACCACAGTCTAAGCACTTGGATAAAAAACCAATAGAAAATAATTGCAGCTGTATCTTGTCTAATCTTTCAGCAGACAAAGCAATCATTTTGAAATACATCAAACAAGTCAGAAACTCAACCCTTGACCTTGCATTCCATTTCATTTACAAGCATTTACAGATTAATTAACTACAAAAGCCTCAGCAGGCTTGATTTGCTCAAACTCTCCTCTGCAGAAGATTGTAGGAACCACGCAATACAAATGTAAATTAAAACCGTAACTCACCTTCTACTTGTTTTTTCACTTCCATCTGAATTTCCAAATTTCTCTGCTGCTGTTGAAGATACTGACGCACAAATTCATTCTGCCCTGCTTTGTCATCTTGTAACTGAACAGGACAAATGAAAAAAGAATAAAAGTAATTAAAAGTAATTAAAACCAACCCTTATTTTTTTACTTCAAAATTTATCGCATTGCCGACAGCATAAACCATCTTATCTTACAACCTTCAACTGGGCAGTGCTGAAAGTCATCTCTGTACTAAAAATATAGTAGTCTCTGTCAGATACAGTGGCACTCTTGAATCAGAAAAAAAGTCAGCAAACATAGCCTAGCCAGACTATGGTAAAAAGAAACCCCTGATCAAGCCAGAATCATCCACTTTTACTTTGAAAATAACTCGAATGACTTAAAAGTGTACTGTAGTTATCAAAACTCAGTCCACCGCACTGGCAATCCAAAGGGATCCGAACATGCCATAATAATTATCCAATCCATTAGCTTTATCCTTGAACTACTTTCGCCCTCCCCCCCAAATCCCTACTAAAATTAAAGAAAAAAAAAGGAGATGATATGAGAATGAGTGACATGCAAACAATTAGAAACATAAATACACATAAATGTGAGGCAGCGTGGTGAAATTAGGCCCTCGTCAAAATAACGAAATCGGAGAAACCGGCATTTTCCACCAGTTTGGAAATTTGCAATTAATTTTTATTTTTTTTGGCGTAACCTCTTTATGTCCATATAAAAACACATTTCCATGTGAATTTTACTGAAAAACACTGATTAAAGGTGTAAAATATGTCATTCTACAGTTTTTTAAGACTTTTTAGCTATTGGAATGACCAAACTTTGGCGGCCATTTTCTCGATTAGTTCACCACTGAAAACAGGCGACCTCACTTCCTTCAATCGCAAATACCATGACTTTTAAAAAATAAATGGATATTTATTTCATCGGAAACACGGCAAAAAAATCAGCTTTCAGATGATACCAATAACTCCACATGCCCCAAAATTGACGAGCACCTGACTCCACCACGTCATGACACAAATGAGCCGTGCATGGCTTCAACCACCCGTTCTGAAAAATAAGTGTGCAAATAGTGCAATGAAGCAAAATGTTCAGACCAGACTACTTGCCAGGCAGTAGAAAGGCTTTAATCAGTTGACACGAAAGTGCACAGTCCTACACCTACCCACAGAATGTGACAGCACACATACCTACAAAGGTCTATGAAAGCCACTAACAACGAAAAGATAGCCACGTGTGGCCATTTCAGCAGACGTACTAGTTTTAACTCTTTAACGAGAGCTACCCTTGAGGACCATTTTCTATGTCTGTTGCCCAAGATCAAATCTAAGTGCACATATAAGTTAGGCATATTAAAATCTCTTGATACGAAATTTTATTTTGGCATCGGTTGCTATGGAAACGGCCGCCATCTTGAAAATAAACAATGAATTTCAAATCCCTAAGGCTTTCTTATTTACGGACTAAATATGACCAAATTTGGTGAGAGTATACCTGAACCAGACCCTATCAGAGTAACAGCAAGTTTTTTTCAATAAGTGCAAAAGAAAGAAAAAAAAAGAGAAATTTCCCAAAGTTTGAAAGTATAAAAACGTTTTCTTAATTTAGATTGTGTAATTGCTTGCCAATGGAAATGTGTTATTGTTTTCGCAAATATCTCTCCGTTTCATTATGGCAGCATTGCCATCTATGTCTCCTGAAAGTATCATGTAAAAAAAATTCTATTTTGCGAAAAATGACAATTATTGTGAAAATTCACTACATTAACCCATCCTCAGGTTTTCAAAGGCAATATACGAGGAGAATAAAGTCTTTCTCGATTGTATCCCATGCTATTTTAAGACAAAAAAATTGGTTGGTCTTCAAAAATCAGCCAACATAAAATTTGCATAGCCTGACCCAAAATCTGCAAAATCAAGGCCCCGAGTTTTTTCTACCTTTTCCTGGAGTTCTTTTTTCTAGTCACCTGAACCTAGTGCACTATGTCTTATTATAACCCCAAAAGCTTGCCTCCAACTTCTAAATAGCGGAAACAAAGGCTTAGTCATTACTAAAAAACTTGGTTGGGGAAAACTTCCAAAAAACAAGCAAAAGCTAGCACTAAATAAAACAAAACAGTTGTCACTAGTACTGGATGCTGGGCGTCCAATGGGGAACAGGGTTATTACTGCCGGACGCTCCCAGCGACGCTCCCAGCGTCCAATGGGGTTCACAGAGTTAATTAAGTTTTACTTCATTAACTTAGAAAATTAACTTAGATTATGTATATTGACAAACCAGACTGAGAGGCAGTGGGATTTTACATTGAAATAATGCTGAAACTATTTTTGCCACATTACTTGCCACGTTAACCATATTATAATTTATTCTTTTCTCACAACCATTTGTTCATTTGTTGGCCTCTTCGAGTGTTTAGGAAAGCCATATATGTTGGGAAAAGCTACACATAAATAGCTTTAGGCAGTAATTAATATTTTTTTTCCTGCTGGAGATGACTTTATGTCAGACCATGATTAAACAAAGACAATGGTTGAAAGGAATACCATTTAAAAACTGGTAGTAAGGCCAAAAAGCATAAAGAACAATTTGAATACTGAAAAAGAAATAGCTGTGCAAACTTAAAATATATGGGTCCCTCCACTATGGTTTACTTCAACAATATCATTTTTAAATGAATCACATGAATCATCCTAAAACACAAATTTTAAAACTTTTGATAATGTGAAGAATCAATGATCGAAAAAGCTTCTCTAGGATTGAAAACCTGTTAATAAAATGCTTTGTACCTTTTAAACTGGAAGAAATGTTTTAAAATCCAGTGGGTTATTAAAAATTATTTTTTCACTTCAATTTAATTATAACAAGAAAGTGGTATTGTTATCAAGGCTGAATTCAGCATGGGTTATAAAGATCAAATGAAGTTGCTTTTTTTTTCCATTGCAGCAGAAATATAAAATAATTTAAATATACTGATTAAAAATTTATTCTTCCAGGGTTGGTGATTTTTTTTTTTAATCAAAAAAATCTATTTTAAAAATTTTAAGCAGACTTAACATTTTTTTAAAAGGTCTACACAGTCTTGAATTATAAGTGGCTAAAAGTATGTTATTTTAGTTCAAAATGCATTGTCTTTCTTTATTTTAACTACTGATTAATTTAAGCAACTTCAAAAGAAAGCTTCGTCTATATCAGTGAATTATTCATGGCTACAGACAAAAAAATGAAGAAAATGTCAGTCTCAAAGGAAGGGGGGTAACTATGCATAGATAAACTTGCATTTTATTACAGTGTTTGTGTGCGCGCGCTCGCTCGTGTTTGTCTAAAAAAAGAAAAAAGAATGCTTATTTCAATTATGAAAAAAATGTAATTGAATACTGTAGTATTGTGTTTCTTTTCAAAACCTCCAACCCCAAACACCTCAATGGGTAGTTTCAACATGATCTAAATTGTTGGTTATTGTAATACTGTTAATATTATATGAAAGTGATTTACTTTCAAAATTCCTTCCGTTGCCATTTTGTTCCTTGCAATAATATCTGAATAATTATTTTTGTTACACTGTTTGTGATTTATTTGTTAATGTTTTTATTCTCCTCAGTCACTATTGATTTGATCTGACATTCAATAAATTATTCAGTTTCATCATCATCATCCAGTGCATTGCCGACTGGCATGGGCGATCATGGACCTCCACTTTACTCTGTCTTGACTGTCTTGCGTTACAGCAATGATGTCTGTTGTTCTTGCTGCTCCTACCCATGTTGTCATCTTGTCCCTTTTCCCTCTGTCTGCCTCAGCCTCTCTTTCCATCAAACGTGCCAGTTGTTACAATATTCTCCAATGCTTCTTTCCGCATTGTGTGTCCGAAGAAATTTGCCAGTCACTTTCTTATATTCGTCATAATTTGTCTTCTGCAATTTGCTCCAACCAAGACTTCTCCATTTGTTTTTCCAGCTGTCCATGGGACACACAGCATGCGTCTTATGAATCACAACTCTGTCGCTACAATTGTTCTTTCCAGCTGTTTATTGATTGCCCAAGCTTCGCACACGTATAATAGGATTGGTTCGTTGTAACTTTTCAGTACTCTTTTTCTCGTTTCCAGTAACATATTGATGTTTGTGAGTATCAGTTTCATTTTGTGGAAGGTTGCTTTTGCTTGGCAAATGTGGCTTTTAATTTCAGTGTGACACCTCCCATCTGATGAAATGGTCCCCAAATATTTAAAATGTTGTACTTGCTAGAGGTTGGTATCATTGACTTTGATATTGCATGTTGGGGTTGGAGTTTTTCTGCTTATCACCATATTCATTGAGTGTTGAACCATGATCTTCTTGGGAAAGAATACAGCAGTGGTTTCCCCTTGCCTTCAGCTGGATTTTTGTACGGTTTACTCTGTTAGCCTTAGTCCAAAAGGACTAACCCACAAGGCAGTGGGGGTATTCAGTTTACAGTTAATAAATCTAGACATTTCCTTAGTCTGTGTGCAGGTGTGTGTGTGCCTACTTGTGTTTGTCTTTTAAAAAATATGCTAATTTCAATTATGAAAAAAAAAAGTAAATTGAATACTGTATTATTTTACAGTGACAGGGGGGAAAAGCAGACTTTTAAGCATAATTATATTAGTCTACTAAACCTTATATTTGTTTGATAAAACCAAGGAAAGGCATTCTCAATGTTTAAAATGTAAAAACTGAATACATTTTTTTAAAGTGATTTCAATCACCGATTTTTATTTTTAAAATCAACTGATTTAAATTTAAATCAACCCAACCCAGCATTCTTCACTCAAAGACTTTACAGTAGACTATTGATTTGTAGAGAGGAACGTTAAATGTGTTCATCCATCTTAAGCAAAAATAATCAAACTTTTATTTTCCATGAATCGTGTGGTCCAGTGTTTCCACTACTAATAGCGATGTAAATAATATAACATAAACATAGAGCAAATTCTGTAACATCAGGTGCAAATTTGCATTCGTATAGGACTTTTTAGCACACCTACAATATTTGTCCTATTTCATAGCATTCCTAATGGCACTCTTTACTCATCGTACATTTCACTAACTGCAAGTACACATATTTTTGACAACCGTGGAAAGTACACTTTGATCCTTTCAAGAAAGTGTCATCTATAAATGACGAGTGTTTGTCCTCTTGTTCCAATGCAATGACAATCCTCACAATGTTTGAAAAAGGTAACGATCCATTTAAAAATGTAATTTTGTTGATCATGTATTTTAAGCCAACGTTTTAATTATTTAGACATCATGAACACAATTCAAGCCTTGAGTTGTGTTTAGCACCCAGTGTATTTTAACATAAAAAATGTTGAACACTGAGGATTGAATACTATCCGTTTTTAAATTGCCCCCTGATATTCATTATCCTTTCTTTGAGTGACATTTTCTTTGGGGATTCTCAACAGTTTATATTCAATTGAAATAGAAATGGGAAAGAAAGGTTTAAAAGCAATGCTGTGTGTTTGTCCTGTTACAATCCTCATAATTTTAGCAAAATAGTTTAAGTTCATGAGTGTGACATAATTTTCTTGAAATCTTTTCTCCCACTAAATTTTTCTTTCCTTGTATTTTAGTCCTCGGTGATTTTTTTCAAATTCCCAGGTAATTCTCAGAGCGTCCGGGTATCTCTGGCCCTGGCAGTCACCCCGAAGTCATATTAGTCTTTTTAGACTTTACGGTCATTTTTCTTCCAGATTGGAGAGGAAAACAAAGATTTAAAATTTTCTTCAATGTTTGTCTTTTAACATTCCTCCCACTCCGATGACATTTTATAACTCTATATTTATCATACACTTATTAATTCTTCAGGTTATTCTGTGTCTCTAAGAAAATACAAATAGAATAGAGAAACAAATATCTTTAATTTAATCTGAATTTGTTTGCATCATTTGTTTTTGTTTGTCTGAGTAACATGCCTGGCAATCGCAGATCTCACTCTTTCATCATTCACTGAATTTCACAGGAATGTCACAGAAGTCTGAATCTTTCAGACATTATCATTTAAATGTTGGTCCCTGTGACTTGCTTGGCTATGTTTGTCAAATATGAAGAAAAATTTTCATTTTGATGTTACCAAAGGTAAACCATACAATGATACTGGTGGAATGACCCATATGAACTTGAAAAAGTAAATGCTTACCGCCATGTTTGGTACTTTTCCTGAAAGAAACACACACAAAAAAAGAAATTTTTAGAGCAGTATAAAATGAGAAGGGGGGGGGGGGGGGGGGATTGCTAAATTCACTCCAATTCAAACAAAACCCATGGCTTGACAAAAATTTTTAATTAAAATTCATTTTACAGCTGCTTACACTTTCATGACAACACAATTTATGAAGCCGTCCTATTATCACACATTTTTCAAATTTATCTCAGACCCCAAGACTGACAGGTCCCGGAAATTACAATTATTGAATTACATATATCTTAAGCTACATTACAGCAACAACATTTCCATTAAACAAGCTACTCTTTTGGAAGTCTTCCCACAATCATTTGTTTTTTGTTTTCCCATCTTTTCTCCATAGCATCTTATCATAAACCTTGGTAAAATTAAATTTAGTGAACTTTAAGACTAAAAAATTTCTTTAAGATAATTTTTCAATTTAAAATATTCACCTTCACTAAGCTCATCTCCTGAGGACTGAGCAGCATCTTGTTGTAGTTTCTCGAGTAACAATTGCTGAGGGCAGGAAGAAAAAAAGCAAAAGGGTAAAGTATTACTACAGAATGTTCAATTTATTACATATTTAAATACATGAGAAGAAAATAAAAACCCACACATAATGAAAGATAATGTCAACATTTCCCCAAGTAAAAATTCAAAGTGTTTTCATTTTTTTAAATACTGACCTTAGCGCAACCAGCAAAAGATAAAGATCATTTTTAACATTTATTTGTGAAAGTGATATACAGCGTTCGCAACTGTATAGGGTCACGACATATATTATAAGTGACCAGGACACATTTAACATTTCCAGCTGGTAGGAAATTTTGAGTTTTGCCCAGGTGGTGGCCGAAGCCTACTCTTATGAATTTTGGACCACCAAGGGATCTTTAACGTGTGCAACTTGCACACTGGACCCCCGAAATTTTTGGCCCTTGTCTGAGAAGACTAGGTGTAGATCTTTCCTACCAGAAGATCAGGGGTGTGGCTGAAAGACAGCAATAAGGAGCAAATGAGTAGTAGTACTAGTAGTAGAAAGGGTGCGGAAAGAGTCAGGAGCCCAGAGGAGGGGGCAAAGGAGGTGAGGAGGAGGGGGCAGAAAGAGGAGACAAAAGCAGACAACAGAACATTGCTAGAGAGCAGGAAAGGAGGTGAAAGGAGACAATTTTTCGAAAATAAAAATTTCTATCGCCACACTGATTCCAACCCGGACGCACAGCTTTGAGGGTCAAACTGTAGAAATTTCGGGGGAAAATTTCAAACCTAACTGCAAACTATTAAATTATGGGTTATTATCGTTATAACGGGGGGGGGGGACAAGATCAAGAGTGAGGTAGGGCATTAAGATCTTGATAAATTGAAAAATTGAGTGGAAGATACCAGGTAAACCTTTACTTTCACTTCCGCACACAGATGCACTGCTTTGGGGGTCAAACTGCAGATTTTTTTGGCTTCAGCTCACACACTCAGCCACTTAACCCTTGTCCTGTGTCTGTGCTGAGATGCGAGTCTTATCAGCAACCGATTATGTCGGACGTTCCGGGCAGGTCGCCGAGGTCATTAAGTGTGTACTGTTGGTGTACAGCGCACGCGCCGGGAAACGTGTGTTTTCGCCATGAATACCGTGGGAGTAAGTGTGTGTAAATTGACTATGAAAATAATGCTCTATCTTTCATAGCTTTGTCTTTAAATATAAAGTGTTACAAACACATGAAACCCCCTCTCACAAGCTGATAAGACATTACGAGTAGTTACGCCCAAATGCGAATTTACCTTTCTAGACGCTCTTGTTGTTATGAATGACCTGAGGTTCGAAAGGGGATAATACAGGTCAATTTCCGAAAGTTTTGCACTCCAATTGTTCTTCGTACCTGCACAATGGTATTCAAAACTATCAAACAAGCTTGTTTTTTATCAGGTAGGTAGTATAATTTCATACAAAATCAAGCTCATTTGAAAGATTTTGTACAGAAAAATGGAAGTCTTGTTTCTTGACTCTCCTTTCAAGCTTCTCATGTCTAAGTGGGTCAATTTCTTCTATAATTTCATTGAATGAACATCTAGAGCTACCAACTTGGCATGTTTTGAATGAGACATATGCATCGATTACGAACCAATGCAGGCGGTTCTAGAAGAAGGCCACAAACGCACACAAACTCAAGCAGACTGACGCACACACACTTGACCGGTGTGAATGGGGATCCAACTCGGGACCCGAATTTCACATAAGATGATGTGCGGTGCGCGTGCGCTGAGCCAGGGGCTAGACTGACTCAGGTGCCGAAATAGGCTTATCGGGCAACATAAACCCGGCCCCCGCAGGACGAGGGTTTTAAACTGTCGAAAATTAATTATTCAAGATAACTTCAAACTTAACTGCATGCCCCCTCACCCACCCCCCTCCCAAAAAAGAAAAAAAGAATGATCAAGAAAACAGCTTTGCATAGCAATGCCAATCGGGCTTTCCCGCGAGGCGAAAATTTGGTCCCCGTTTTCGGGCGATTTTGCGGACCAGGCCGAAGCGTAGGTGACTAACTTTGTCAACCTCGGTCTGCTCTAATTCCGAACCAATCCGAATGAAACTCGGCAACCAATCAGAAAATAGGGCAAACTAATGATATGTGGACGTTGAAGTTCGTACACGTAAATTAACCTATACTTTTGGTGTCAGGAACACTTTCGTATCGTGTACACCGAAAACTATAAGGAGTTTGAATTTCAACGCCGAGATGGTAATAGATCTATCTATCCTCTATAGTGTGCTCAAATTTGAACGTTCTGTGTCAAGTAGTTGTTTAGACCCGACCATAAATGCACGACTACCCCCCTATCCAAAGCGGCTTCGCACAGAGACCGGCCATTTTCCCCTCACTCTCGTGGCAAATGTATGTGACCTACAAATCCCCGCATGACTATTCCGGGCCCGTTCATTGGTCACTTGAAATAGGGCAATGGCAGGCGCGCGCATCCGGTTGTTTTTCTCTCTATTCCCCTGTAACATCGCAATGGGGGTATTCCGAGGCGAGGTTATCTCGTCTCGGGGTGTTCGCGTCTCAACGGGGAAAAAGAATTTTTAATTGTACGGCATGCTAGATTGAATTAACTTATCTTTTACGGTTGGCATGGTCTAAAGTCATCATAAAAAGCTTTGCAATTATTTAGTCACGCTGCCGACATATATTCTTAAAGATCCCATGTTGTGATACGATGCTATAAATAAAATGGACTCATCCCGACACCCCTTTTTCGCAAAATCGTAATATGTACACCACAATCACAAAATAACTACGAAATTGGTAGTAAATCTGACTGCAGAAATGATTTCTCTACACTCAAAAACACATCGGGTAGCCAAGTTTCTCTCAAACACTCCGATTAGTTACCGAGATATCGTCGATTTTCTTACAGAATCTGCTACTCAACTGCGTGGTCCACTTTTTAGGAGTATTTTCCTATATGTGGGTCATCCATATTTTGCCGACCTTTACAACCCCATAACTTTTTTCATTTATGAACCGATTCTCAAAAGGGAGTGTATACAGACCCGGTAACCGGGAATAAAGTCACAAAGTATACAGACCCGGTAGGAGAACTCTTTTGTGATTTCGGAAAGTTTCAGCACCCTCTTGGCTCAGGGTAGAACAATGGCCTAGGTCTAGATCTAGACAGACATGTAAATCATTGATCTAGTTTCGAGGCTAGCCTAGACCTAGATCTAAATCTAAATGAAGATTGCGGATGTCTTTTCGATGAAAGATCGTTTTCCCCAAGTTTTGGAGTTGGAGGAATCACAAATTGAAGAAAAGAACATGTCATAATTTCAATATAGAGCAGTCTCTCTCTCTCTCTCTCCCTCTCTCTCTCTCTCCACACACACACACACACCCATACTACCTTGTCTGGGCGCTGAAACTTTCCGAAATCACAAAAGAGTTCCCCTACCGGGTCTGTACTGTATACTTCGTGACTTTGTTCCCGGTTACCGGGTCTGTATACACTTCGTTCTCAAAATTCAAGAAGCATAATTCTTAGAATTAAAAATTCTTTCTTAGGTACCGAAAAAAAAGGGGCAAAAGTGAAAATTTAAATTTTCATTGGCATTGCTACTTTGCAAGACCTGAGGCACCTGAGCATATTTATATAAGACATAATTTAGAAAGTGTCAGGGCATGTAAGTAAGAGTAACAGAATCGCCTAGATTTACCTTGCCTTGGTCTTGGTTGGCTCTCAAAATGAGTAAAAAGCATTGCACCTGCTGCAAGCAGGAACAAAAAAAGTACTAGATCTAGATCTAGATCTAGACCTAGTCAGGGTATAATTCTGGCTTGAACTTGGAATTAATCGAAACTGACTGCTGTGAGAAGGTGCAAATTCCTGCAATGCTGCATTTTTTTACTTGGCAATACTGTACACAAGCTCATGCATAAACAGATATGCAGAAAAGATTCACTTCGTCTTATGAATGCTGTTAAAAACAATGAATCTAGCTCGAATAGGATGCAGATCTATTCCATAATTAAGTTACAGCTATTACAGTATTAGCTTTACGACTTCAGGTTTCAATTAGAGCAGTACGAGCTCACGGATTGCAACAGCAAAATAAGAAAGTGGAAGTGAAGCTGAGCCCAATGCCAAGGGACATAAACACAACTTAAACAACAAAATATGTCACAATTAACAATGCACATACTGCTTTTAATCGATCAATCAGTTGAGTTTTGCTTCCAGCTTTGGATAACCCTCGCCTCTCAAGCTCTCGTTTAATATCATTCAGTTTAAGTTCTGTCACAGGCGTCCCTTTGAAAGTGATCGAGCTGGAGGAGTCCTCTTCGGACGCCATCTTGTCCGAGGAACGCGAAAATCGGTGATTTCCGTACGCATTGTAAATAAATAAACTCGGAAGCAAATGCAATATTTTTTATTGTTTTGGTCTGAAACCAAACAAAGTATCAAAAAACGTTCCATTGATTATATGTATTTCTTAAAATATACTAATAATGCAAATCGATACGATTCGGTTACTTCCGTATTGAGGTCATGGGGATACCTCAAACATTCAGATGTGGTTCATACCGCGGGCTTTTCAGGGCAAAAACAAAACGAATGAATAAACTGATCGGCAGGTACAAGAACAGAACACGGCCAACATACGATACAGATTTTCGCTGTCAAACTTTCTTCTTTCAATATTACTTTATAAAATTGCATTCGTACACGGCAGTAGAGTGAGAACTTAACAACTGTGTTTTGATTGTAATAATTGATTTTATTTTTTTCTGCGTGCAAGTGTGTGTGTCTGTGTGTGTGT